TCTGTGATTCTGTGATTCTGTGATTTCCATGAAGATGTCTGATGACACAATTTCCAATCCTGTGCTCACAGAACACATGCAATTCTCACTGTCTTTGGTGAAGGTTTGGATGTCTGAATATGAAGGCAGTTTTGGGATCTCAGTAAGAAAAATATTCAGAAAAAAAAATCTGTTTTCAACCTAAAGTGTATTAACAGTTGATCATAGTCAAAAAAGGAAAGAGCAAGAGAAGAAAGGGGTATGCTGGAAGGAGAAAACTGTAAATCCCAGGTTGTGAAACTATGTGGCAATTAAAATTCTGTTTTAGTTTTCATGCTGATTTGACAATGTTACCATTGATCTGCAATATGGAGCAACAATGCACTGCAAACTTGCTTTGTGTTGTTAAGAGTTTTAATGTTTTGGAGAGAATTTTTTTACACAAAGAATAGGATCTGAGATATGGGTTTACTTTGGTTTTTAATTATCTCCAGCTATGATGAAAAACTTAGGGGAAAAAAAAGGAGACTATTTTGGAGGTGTCCTTAAGGAAACTTTATAAGGTTGCTACTTGTTTTCCTGCAGAGGCCTTGCTTCTTCCCACAGAGAAGTCTGTGGGTGAAAATTAGATTGCTGTGGGGAGATGGAAATGTTACATCCGCTCCTCTATATCTATTGCCCTATCAATGCCCAATTCCCAGACTAGGCAAAATGGCATGAAAAGAAAACAGAAGTCCCCAGCAGTTCAAATCCAGAGACTACCAAACTCAGGAGCAATTTTCATGATACTACTAAAATTATAAACTGTATCTATTCCTTTGAGGTCCCAACATCTAACAACATTTGCCAAAGTGAAATGATTTTTTTTTCCTGTGTTCCCTGCAGCATGGCTGTGGAAATTTTGTGCGTGTGATACAGTCGTACAATCGCACACACCTGTATGTCTGCGGCAGCGGTGCCTTCAGCCCTGTGTGTGTGTATGTCAACAGAGGCCGCAGGTCCGAGGTAAGTCTCTTTTCATCTTATCCGCTCTTTCTGTGGTGGATCTTACTAGTGTCACACAGAACTCAACATTTTGAAAATGCAAGATCCAATGGTCTGAATAGGTTCCTTCACCCATGTGAAGTAGAAAAAGAAAAAAGATCCGTAGTTTTCTCACCTGTTTCCAGCAAGAAGCAAAGCCATGATCAAAAGCCATGCCTGAAATACGACAGTTGTCCAAACTTCCCCAGTTTTACCAAATGCTAGGTTACATTTGATACTACTTTGTGTTTGATGTTGTCTGGTGAATTCATTCTTACTATTTATTGGAAAAAGTACCAAGAAATACTTGAAAGGAAGGAGCCAGACAGATAAAAGGTAAAATGTGCAGTCTACTTTTTATAACTTCCAGGTGTTACTGATTCCTGGATGAAGCTGTTAAGTGGGCTAACCAGGTATGTGAAGGTTTGCTGGACTTCAGCTTAATACCCACTAGATGCAATCCCAGTACAGGTAACTTTCTTCTACTGCACAGTTTTTGCCCCAGGAGATTCTTCTGCGATGAAGTCAGGAAGTTTTCTTATCACTGTGAGATCTTCCAGGGTGTAAATCTCATTTTGTCTAGATAGGTCTTCAGTTTTTCTATATTCAGTTTCACTGTGTATTTTCAATATACAAAGTACCAAGTGTTTCATAAATATATTGTCCAAGTTTCCTGATTTGAAAGTTAAATCTTTGTTTATGTGGAAGTGTAATAGGTGATAAATTAAGCAACCAGAAGGAGAAAGAAAAAGCACTTAACCCAGACCCAGCACCTCAGTAGCTTTTGGGTCAGATTCATGTCTGCAGGCGCAGGGATGTGCAGTATATTTTCCTGTACAATGTGGAAGCAGATGTGTTGGGAAGGAAGATCAGAGAGTGCTACCTGGAGTTTTGCCATGTGAGGGCAGCTTTAAAAGCTGGACTGGCTCCTAGGGAAGACACTGGGAAATTCATCACTGGTTTCATTGAGAGTGGGATGGAAATTCTGTCCAAGACCCAACACTACTGCAGAAGTTGCCAGGGAGGTGATAAATCATTGTTTCTCCAGGTAGGTTTGCATGGGATGATCTCAGTGACTTTTGGTAGGTCACTACCTGGCTCCAGCCTCCTTAACAGAGTATATAGTCTGAATCACTGCACCTTCAGTCCTAGTGACTAATCTAAGTATAGGGGTTCATAGTCCTGGATTTAAAAGCACAAGCAAGCAGAACTGAGAAAGTAAATCCATCCTTCCGATTAACAGAGTATGCATTAATTTATTTTGATGTATTTTGAAACTGAGGTCAGTTTTCCACAGCATTATCCTATTTCTTGAAAAATTATTTAAAACATGGAAAGTGATCTCATTTGTCTCTAATTAATGCAATATCCTTTAACAGCTTAAGTCGCAGTACTGTAGCCCAGAGGACTTTGAATCTCATTATTTTAGGCTTTTTCTAAATGAGATTTGGGGGTAGGGCAGGAAATGACATCTCGAGATGATGCAAGAAGTTAAATTTCTTAAGTTAAAAATAAAGATACATGTTTTGGAAGAGGAGAACTAGCTTCTCTTAGCCTGTCTGTATAGCTACATGCCTATGATCAATTGATTAAATAAACTGCTGTTTCAGACGTCTGGAGTCTGTCAGACACTTGACTGTAGGCATTGCATACTCAAAGCTATTACTGTACAGGCCAACAATAGCATAACAGTTTGAAACCAAGCATTTCCTTCTGAACTCATTGCATATATCAGTGCATGACTAATTAATAGAGCAGAATGAAGAACTATGTAGTGCTGATGGGACTAGGGAGAACTCCTTTTTTCTCTGCTTTTATCATTTCACCTTTAATTTAGTACAGTTTTCCATGCACAGAAGGCTGTTTTCGCACGTGCAAAATGGATATTTTAGAAAGCACATCTGTTTTTCTCTAGAAGCTACAAAGCCTGACAGTAAGAGTCATATCCAATAATCATAAGAACTGGGCCTGTTTTCCTCTTTTGTCTCCAGGATTCCACATTTCTCACAACAACAAAAAAAAAAAAAAAAAAGGCAGCTTCATTGATGAAGCAGATTGATGCCCTTTTCCCTGGAAGAGAGGTTAAAAAATAATTCATTTTCTTGCTTAGCACACTTGATACTTTTTGGTAATGACTCTCTTAGTCACCCAAATATATTCTAAGGTCAAAGTAAATGCAAACAGAAGGAAATGTAATCACTATGTGAATTAATTATAGACTAAAAAGTAGTTTAATATATATTAAAATCAAGTGTAATCCTGGAGCTAGTTTAACAGTGCAGTAATGGGCATTTTGAATTGGTAAATAGTGGTATAATATGGTAAATATGGATTAACATCAAACTGCATATTAATCTAGAAGCAAAACAACAGAAAACCCCAAGATCATATTAGAAACTTCATACTTATGCTTTAACATTGTTTAGAGGGGTTATTACTGAAGCAACAGATAAGATCTCTGACTAAATTAGGCAAAACAGAAGAGGGGGGGAAAGAGGGAATAACAGATATGAAAACTTCCTGCTGTAACTGAACATTTCAGGTTGTTGGAGTCTCCAATTCGCTGTCGCCGGGTGGCTGCTCAGTGGTCTGCGTGACATCCCTATTCCCCTGTCATGTACATTATTTGTTAAAGGGAATATAAAGAGTTGCTTTCCTTAGTCAAATAACTAATACATTGGCATCTACGTCACAGAAGTCTTTCTGTGGAGCTTTTGTCAGCTATGTTTTTCTGTCAAAACAGAGATGTTTGCAATTGTGTCTCTTGGCCTTTTATTAAGAATTAGAAGTTTGTTATAGGAGGCTAGGAACAAGTTGTTTGTTTGGTATACAGTGGTATGTGCGTAGATGTGATGGATTGATGTCTCTGCCACTACTGACTGCAGTTTTTAAGGAATGGACTTGGACCCGAGAGGCCCTTCTTGCTCAGCATACTGTGCTCTTCAGTATTGCTGGGAACCAAGAAGTGAAGAGGTGCACCAAGATGGGTGAATTTTCTAAAGATATTCAGACTGCTTGTATTTCAAGCTGTAGTTCAGATGGCTTCTCCTTTGCCAAATGTATTTCCAGTTTATAAATCACATAAAATATAAACAAAGCCCCATACCAAGATTCCTAAACAGCAAAAAATTTCCAAGAGATTTCAGGCTATGGCAAGAGATACTGATAAATCATCTATCACTACAGAATTGGAGCTCTACACATAATCCAAGAGATAGTACTGAAGAAAATAAGTATGATTTAGGGGATTTTTGGAGGTCTGGTAGCTCAGTAAAGAACAAATTATTTGTACAATCACCAAATGACAGTTGTCATAAGAGATTTTTATTTAATATGTGTTATTGTTCTAGTAGTTTTATTATAATGTCCTGGACCAGTATAAGTTTCGCCATGTATTCAGCAAATAAATGACAAATAACTTCAAAAACACAGAAGTAATTTCCACAGATGTTATTGCAGAGATCAGTCAACCTCTCCAAAACATAACTGGGCTAGGGGGAAAAATTCTCTTTTTCAGTCTCTTGAATTTATAAGAGTCTTGAAAATAACTCAGTACCAATGAAAAGTTGTCTAGAAAGATGATGAAAATCTGAATAGGAAAGCTAAACTGCTGATACTACAGCAAAAGTGCCCAGAGGTGCTGAGCATTCTTAATGCTGGAAACAGCCAAGCATAAAAATCACTTTGCGTCTGATGGTTTCTGAAATGAGAAGTGACACACAAATCTACGTTGCAGGAACAAATCTTCAAGATCGACTCCAAGTGTGAATCAGGAAAGGGGCGCTGTTCTTTCAACCCTAATGTGAACACGGTGTCTGTTATGATCAGTAAGTAAAAATACTCCAAATTGTTGAGGTCTAAACCCCTATGATCACGCGTGGTGTGGGTTGACGGTATGCCTGAAATGAGCTGGACACAGAATTCAGCCTCCAAGGAGCAGTACCTTGTGGCTGGCTGATGGGCTCAAGGGTTGAGTCCATCCTTGTTTCAAGGTTTACATGAAGCTAAAGGTGAGTGTACAAATGAAAAGCATAAATAAACTGTTGAATGGGAGAGAGAGGGAGAAACAGAAAACAAAAGATTGTCCCTTTTCCAGCTTACACATTTTTTCACAGGGTTAGTTTCAACTTTGCATTACCCTGTCTAGCATTTATGTTTGAACAGTTTCTGACCTTGTTCATCCTAGACAGCACTTGTGTCTCATTTAATTATTTGTAAAATCTCAGAGCAGCCAGGAAAGAAAGCCTGAAGACTTCAGTTACTTTGAATTTCATTTTTTTTGTCATCTCTGCTGTAGAGCCCACCAGCTATTGCAAGGCTCTTCATTCTTCACTTGGCTTTATACCCAACCAATTTTGCAATTTTCTTCCATCTGAAAGGCCAGAAAGTGATACAACTGACAACTTCAAATATTCATGTGAATTGATGGCGACTGTACTCAGTGACTATGAGGGATACCCAACTTTGTGTGTGCCTTTTGCACACCTAGCTGAACACTCAAAGGGGGAATACACTTTGTACAATGTAAGTCATCAGTAAAAGAAACCTTTCTCAACTAGGAGAGAAAAAAAAAAAAAAGAAATTAAATGCTTTTTCAATCAGGAGACATGTTATGTATACTTAGTGTAACCCGACCATTCACGTTTGCAGCAGGTTCGCAGACTTCTAGTGCCAAAGCCTTTATTTTTCAACATGTGCCTACTCCTTGTTATGTTTTTGGCTATGAAGGAATCAGCAGTTGCACAATTTTTTTAGACTTTCTTAGCAAATAAAGCTTAATGCACACAGGTACTGCATTTTTCACCCAAGGTTTAAAAGGGAACAATGTTCAGTGTTTCTGCCATTTGGCTTCCCCTAAATCAATGGCAATTACATATTGTGCCAGATATCTCCTTTAAAATTTGAGTCTTGTGGAGCTTAAGGGAAGTGTCATGTAGTCTGTCTTATGTGGTCTGTTCAAAATATAAATTAGCTTTTTTTTTTGTGATTTCTCATTGCAAATATATTTACTACAAAGACAAGTAATTTTATTCACAGAGGTATCAACTGCCATTAAAAAATAAAGTTTCCTTTCCTTGTTCCTTCTGGATTTTATGAAACACCATTAAAGTACATTGTTTCTGAATTACTGTATATAAAGTAAGCTGATTTTTTTTCTGCAATAGATCTATGGCAGCTTTGTTCATCTTAGTAGACTTTACATTATCTTCCTTCATGTTTCAGTTCTGTGACTGAAGAAACCTTCCCTAGTGTTTGACTTATCTTTCATGACATAATTAATCTACTAAATTTAAATTATACCAAAAAGGTCACATTCTTTTTCAAAAGAGTCCCACAGATTGGGTTTTGTACTTTCTTCCTGTTACCACAAAGTCCAGTCACTTCAAAAAACGTTAAGCTTGAATGAATTTCGCCTCAATATCCATGCCAGAAAAGGGAAGATCTTGTAAATCACAGCTTGTGTTAAAATGCGAGGACTGAGCCCAGTTCTGGGCTCTCCTTTGAGCATTCTTCTGCAGGAGGAATTCCTTCCCCTCACTTCAGAAGATGGAAAATACTGCCAGACCAGCTAACTCTTCCACAACAAAAGAAAGAACCATTTTTAAATATAGACGCAATTTCTTCATAATTTTGGGCATCACCAGCCTATAATACAGTAGGAAAGCTGATTCACCCTTCAGAGGAAAAGTGATGCTTTAAAAACAAATTTGAACTTGGTACACATTGCCATTGTACAAAGACACTTTTGCATCAAAGCAGTGAAAAATGTTCTTTGAAGAAGCTTGGCATAACTAATGCACAGGATGCGTGTCTCTCTCTCCACCAAGACTCTGAGGTATTTATAAAAGCAGACATACCTCATCAATTCGGTAATTCCCCCCAGCAACAAACAGAAGTAGTGTGAACGAGTTGTGCTGTGCACACCAAGTGAGGTGAGGAATTTAAGAATTTAACCAAAAGGAAGTGGAGCTGACAGATATCATCTGATACATGATTAGCAGGCAGACACTGGGAATTCTTAACACATAACTAATAGCATTGATATGTAATAGGATCAAAATTACATAGTGTAGTACTATTGTTAAAGTGTGAGCAAATGTCTATATGCACATAACGTTTAGTGAGAACCATAAGGCCGATCTCTTTCAGACAGTTTATTTCATAACAAGAACAAAGCTGTGATGGACTGAGGCAATGAGGCAAATATACAAAATCAGTTATAAATCAGTATAGATCTAACATCATTCTGTCAATAGATACCCAGGAAGCAAACGCTTCACAAACATGAAGCAAATGCATTGTTTAAATCCCCTGTGTATGAATCTTGTCATCACTGGGAGAGATGAGAGCAGAAGCGTGGCTGCTGGCTGCTCTGCAGGGGTTCAGTTCAGGCTCTAGCCAGCAGCAGAAAAACAAAATCTCCAGAGTTTTAATTCTCTCATGAGCCAATAGTCTTCCGTATTGATGCACACACACACACAGCATAAAAATAGCCTCAAGCGCTTCTGAACCTGTGACTCTTGCCAGCTTGACCACACTCTCTGGGTAGTCCAGGAATTCAGACAAAAACATCAATCAAAGGACCCAGCTGTACTGGAATGTGTTCAGCCACCACTCCCACTCTGAGTTACAGTTTATTTTAGCTACTGTTTTCTGCTCTGGGGTTTCATTGTCATTAGTCAGTGGAAATTGCTTGGTTATTCACGGAGTAGAAAATGATAGTATATGTAATTAGAATTATATGTACATATATTTATGCACACACACAGACTCTCACCAACACAGATATGCATCCTGACTGATGGACTGAGTTTTTAGCCCTGCACAGGGATCAGAAGTTCATAGTTCTGTTAATGTAAGAGTTGCGTGTCTAATTCTCTTCAGGCATAATGACCCTGTGCTTAGAATCAAGCACATAAAAGGGGACAATTGTTGCTCCCTATTACTCTACGTGAGTTCAATAATATGATTGTCTGGCCTCTGCAATACTGAAGTCAGCTTGAGGCTGCCTGGGGCACCCTTGACAATACTGTTGGTAAAAATTGGCACTGATCCACTGACTGCAACAGTTGTTGTGCCAGTTTACACCAGCAATAAATTCAGCCCAGTCATTTTGTCTGCTCCCATACCAAAAAAAGCTTTTTGAAGTACATACTTTAAAAATTGAATGTGATTCCTTTTCATAACACTAGCCTGATTTTTCCAGTGATCCTTAGCAGTGAACGTTGAGCAACTAAGCTTCATATCAAAGAAAGGTTCACCACATATACAGTTCTGCTGTTGCATTTATTTATGCATTTCCCTAAAGTCTTTAAGAAAAATCTGATGATTCTAGATTCTGTCTTTGTAAATTAGAGGGAAACTCCATTCCCATGACCCAATATTTATCTTTATAAACTCCTGTGTAAATAAAGAGCTGACAAGTTTAAAATAAAAATAGATCAGTAAACATGGATTTCCCAAAAGCCATAACAATGCATTTGCTTTTCCCCCTCCATTTCAATTCTTTGCAGATGAAGAGCTTTTTTCAGGAATGTATATCGATTTCATGGGGACGGATGCAGCCATTTTTAGGAGTTTGACCAAGAGGAATGCTGTGCGAACGGACCAGCACAACTCCAAGTGGCTGAGTGGTGAGATGCCTTTCTTTTACCAGAGGTTTTAATGGGTTTCACAGAGATTCATATTTGTTTTGTTTAAAAAAAAGAACTTGTATTTTAAAGAGCTGTTATCAGAATTTAATTTATAAAGTTGAACCGTGAAGAAATGTGTGTAGATACATATTGTAGACAATGCACAGGTACGAAGGGTTCAGTGCATGAGCCAACCTCTCAGGCCACCCCACCCAATGGCCTTTTTTGCATTAAGACTGAACCAAGCTGTTCAAGGGCAAGTGTATGAAAACCTTTCAAATGGCAAGTGGTCAGACAGTCTGACTTCTAGGGAACTACTTTTTCCAACTCCAGACATTGCCTTAAATTAGAGTGTTTAATACTAAGTTTTTTTCTAATGAATTGCCAACTTCAGTTAGTTAAGCTGATCTACCTCTGTACAAAAGACTCACCACTACTTGCATTCAAAATGTGTGCAGAATAGAGTCCCATTATCAGAGAAGTCAGTGACAATTCTTGACATTTATTTCAGTGATAAGAAATTGATTTTCAAAACACAATTGGAAAACTAATTTCTGAGTGCAAGCACTTAACTCTTGGCTTCACTGAAATCAATGTGAAAATTCTCCCTGACTTTACTGATAAGAAGGGTCGTTCCAATTAAACTATTTTGAATTACAGTGGTGGTCAACTCTTTGAGCAGAGGTAGATGTCAAAGGTTATAGAGCAACTGACATAGCAGTTCCAATTTGAAAAAGCCTTCAGGTATGTTGAACTACAGTTTCTGTGTTTTTGTCTTGGCAATTTTTAGGTGACTCTTGCTATTCGTGTGTGGCTATGACTACAATGAAATCACAAGACAGCAAACAGAATAAATTTGATTCCCTGTAAATGGGAAACTATGTTTGCTTTCTGAATTTTTTTTGTTTGCTATGCAGTCTTACAATTATCTGCACACCCTGAAGTGTGCACCCTAAAGTGAGTTAGGGAAAAAGAACCATTAAAATGCCTAATTTCTGGAAAATCTGCCTGTTACATATGCTCAGAACAGGTATTTGACAAGCACAATTCATTTCCATGTTCTTTTAGAGCCAGAATCATGACACTTGTTCTATTAATTGAGAATGTGCTCATGTGAATAGAAAAATGCTACAGTCTAAAGTGAGTTTTCTGTCAGAGATCCAACCTTTGTATCAGATTGTTTCAAGATTTGTCCTGGATTTCAACTGACCAAGCAATCTAGCATGATCATTGAAAAGATGCAGCCCTCATGCAGGGAGAGGATCCGCTTCTTCCTTCAGACAAAGGAGAAGGTCATCTGAGGACTCCTCCACTGTCCATTATGCACTTACTGTTAAAGATATAAATTGTTTTGCTCTCTCATTAGCCCTCCTTTGCAGTGTTTTACGTGTACACTTGGTTATATTTATCAGCCTCTGATATGAACTCAAATGCTGTTAAAGCATTTGCATACCCTGCTTTCCTTTTCAATCTTCCATGCGTTATTTTTCTCTCTTCTTTATGTACCTTATTTGTTCTTTTCCTAATGAGTCTTTCAACAGCTTACTTTTATGTTTTGCCTTGGTGAGTCTTTCCTTCACTGCCCCTGATAACACACTGACTCTTCTCTTTTCCTCCTCCAAGTCTTTGAATCTCTGTGGTAGTCTAATACTGCATTTTAAGCACTTTTCTAAAATTCTGTTGTGGGGTAAGATGTGAGGATGCAGGAACCAGCAAGAAGCCACTTACCTGGTGATATCTGGTATATACAGACATGAGGCTAGAGCATATAGCTTAACTTATCACAGCAATGCCTCTACATGCACTATGTAGCACTTCCTTGAAGCAGTCAGTAACTGTCAGATCATTAATTGCTTATACTGATACATCTTCTGGTTTAATCTTTTTGGTACACTGTTCCATTTCAGAGCCTATTTTTGTGGATGCGCATGTTATCCCAGATGGCACTGACCCCAACGATGCCAAAATCTACTTCTTCTTCAAAGAGAGACTCACAGACAACAGCGGAAGCACAAAGCAAATTCACTCCATGATTGCAAGAATATGCCCAGTAAGAACTGTTTTGTTTGCCAGGTTGTTAGAACAAGCTGCTAGTGTGACATGATAAGCTAAAAGACTAAATGATTGAAAAGCCTTTGATTTATATTTGAAACAAATTTCCTGTTTCACCTTCCAAATCAATAATTAAGAAGAGCTGTAACTGAACACACAGCTAGGGTCTGAACATGTTATGTGTATCTGGTTATATCTATAATGATATGGAAATTCAGAGATTCAGGGATTTGTGTGTTGCTCTGACTGAGTCAGAGTAGTTATCACAGTTGAATTTCCAAACTTACTGTCCGTTGGACAAACAAGGTACATTCTTTGCATAGAAGAATGTAATTATAAGACAGGGAAGTCTTTCTCACACTTACACACACACACACACTCAAAATCTTTGAAACACATTGGAAATATGAGAGCTAAGCTTTTAACTTGCTCTGATTTAACTTGCAATTACTGTTTTGTTTTTTACAAAATCTGTCCTTTTTGAGTTCTTGAATTGATGTATGTGTGAGCCTAACTTTAAAAGCATGCACAGAAAAATTAAATTTGGGAATTATGGCTACTTTGTGCAGTAATTAATTTATGATCACAGTGCTCCTTATTGTTTCATTTCCTTTTTCATATCTGTAATCAACTGTATATGAAAAATTATTGAAGCAGCTATTAATATCTCTGGTGAAATGGATTTTTTTTTTAGTGAAAGAAAAATTATGAATGCACAATTACTGCTAGCCTTTTCATTTCTTTGGAAAGGCCCAGGAAGATAACTGTGAGCATTTGTGTATTCCCTGTCTTTAATCTGGGTCTTCTTTAGAATTTGCTGCTTTTTGATGTTGTTGTGCATGGGTGTGAGGGTGTGTTTGGGGTTGTGTTAAGCTTCTTCACAAGTGATATGATGAGCCATGTGATCTCTTTTATAATCTCCGTTTTCTATATTTTTGTGAGGGTGCCCAAAGGCCTTTTTTGGGTATTTTGCAAGACATTTCACACAATTATAGCTGGATTTGTAATGTTACTCTTATAATGAAGCCCAGATGATTCCTGAAAGGCCTCAGCCTGTTTAGACTTACATGGAAGTCAGTGGCAGAATCCCAAAGCTAATGAAAACAAAACTGAGCCATTCATATTTGTATATTTGTATACTATCATATTAATATATCAACACCTTTGAGACTGGCCTAACATATTAGCACAATGGTGCCAAGAAAGACCCATCCAAAAGACCCCTTATGGGTCACCCAGAAAGTCGATTACCAGCTCCGGGAGCACCAGTGAAACATGCAGAGCATTTCATTGAAGTCACATTTGCCTAGCTTCTGCATTTCCTTTTTCCCCTTCCTTGGGTGACATTGTGCTGTACAGTTTGGAAGACACTGCTCTTATCTAAGGTGTTCACCAGCAGAATGAGGCAGGAGCTGTCACCTCTGTGCCGCACCATCTGCTTGAGCAGTTACAGTTCCCACCTTGCACCGGGGAGAGATAGGAAGACCCTAGAGCGAGCTGTGACCAAGCTGGCTCTGGACCAAGGTAGCAGGACTTGCAATCGTACACTACTAGCTTGACCCATGTTGGCCATCATTTCTCAATTTAATTCAAAGCATCCACCTCATGGGCCAGCACAGCTTACTCGTTCAGATGCAGCTATACTGCTGCCAGGACTAGAAGAAACATCCCTTTTAGAGGTATCATGAACTTGTCCACACTAGGTATTGGTGAGTGATACAGATCTCCACAGTCCTTTCTAATCATACCTACACAGATGGCTGCTGCACAGAATGAACTGCCTGACCCGCTCAAGCCTGCTAGCCCTGCACAGAGAGTCTGCTCAGAAAACTAGTTTCTGTTTTTCCTGTTTCTGGAGTGTTTACATGGGGGGATTTGGTTTAGTCTTGTCTGGTTTTTATATTGACTATAACAGCATAATTGTCTACATGATGAGTCAAATTAACCTGAGGAAAATGTGGGAAAGCCCAGTAAAATGTTAGCTGTGTTGTATTTTTTTTTTTCTGAAAATAATATTCCTTTCCAGAATGACACAGGTGGTCAGCGTAGTCTTGTGAACAAGTGGACAACATTCTTGAAAGCAAGACTTGTGTGCTCAGTAATGGATGAAGATGGAACAGAAACATACTTTGATGAATTAGGTATGGCAAGAAAAATCCCTTTAAAGTTTTATCTAAATCCTACACCCTGTGTGTATTTAATTGTTGACGTTCATTCAGCTCCCTAGTCAAGTTGTTGACAGTGAAATCTTGGCCCTGTAGAAATTAATAACAAAATTCCCCCTTGCAGTTTTATGACAGGAAATGAAAAAACTTATTCATAAATCTCTCTGGGTATTATCATTATCTTTGAAATAAAGGTGATTAATCTTGACTCTGTAAAGGAATTATATATGTAAAGAATTAGTGTTTGGAAAGGAACTAGTGGAATCTATTGTTATTTGCTCCTAGTTAGTTTTATGATAGAGGGTTTTTAACATAGATTTCTATAGTATTTCATATACATGTATATACATGTATAACATACAGCTTTTCTGCAATACAGGTTTTCTTTTTTGATCACTGGGTAGAGGCCTCAATTTGATAGTTCAAGGTAGTGCAAATTCATCCTGTTACTAGCACCAGCAATAATACCATGAATAAATATAATTTCTCAGGATTCATTCAGGCTGTTAGATTCTCAGTTCAACATCTGAGTAATCTATACAGCAGTCATAAGAGGTCTCATTTCAATAAGGAATTGATGGATGCATGTCTTGATAGTTAAGTGTCAAACAATGTTATCAGAAAGTTTCAAATTCTATATTGTCCACAGCTGTGATGTACAAAGTCATAGTTCTAAATTCAGGTATTGTAAGATTTGGTATGTGTAGTACTATAACTGTATAAATATATATGGCCAATGGGCCTCACACTGGGGCTGCATCTGATTCTGACCTCTCTATTGCAATCACTCTCTGACTTTGTTGACAATTTCCATCATAGCAAATGGAATTCAGAGTATTGATTACTAGGTATCATTAGAAATATTTGGGGTACTTACATTGGTGCAAGGTTTCAGTGGAACCTGATGGGCAGAACCTAGCTTGCTCTAACTCGGAACGTGCGAGGTGCTTGCAGGACTGGCTTTCAGAAGTTCCCAGTGCCTCCTAGCACTGCCACAGCAACTAATCTTTCAGAGCTGTGATTTGCCAGCCTACTCCTCTTCAACAAAGCAGTAGGATACCTGCTTTTAGTTTTCTGCATGACAAAATGTAGGACCGTACAGAACAGGAGACAGTGTTCTCAGTCTGGGCTCCCAGCACAATCCTGTGGCAAAGAGGAGGAACACAACTGCAGCTGGAAGTGCAGAAAACTGGGAGAGAGCAAGTGTGTGCTTCTGTTTTCATGTGTAATGATTCCAGTTCTGCACGGTGAAATCTTTTGCTTTTGACGTATTTGGAAGACTATTTTAAAGATTCAGAGGGTTAAATGAAGGAGCTACATACATTAGTGGAAAACTAAAGAACATATTCTATGATAAAAAGCTCAGTTCAGTCTTTTCATGTGTTGTAAAATACGTTTAAGAGGTAGCTTGCTAATAGTTATTAAAAACATTTTTAAGGAGAATCTGTCAGAGATTAAATTATTTTTCACTGAAGTGTAAACAAATAATCAAGAGATCAGAGGTAAATGTGGGCAAATTCAGTTCAGTGAGCAGGTACAGCTTTGCACAGTACAGTCAATAAATCCCTACACAACAGAAGCTGGAGGTTTACATCTCTCAGTGTCTTCACTGCAAAACTGTCTGTCATTCATACCATGTTGCAAATGAGCTAATGAGGACATCCAGAGAGTGTACTGGACGATGAAACACCTAATTGTCCTACTTTGGTTTACATCTGTCTATAGGAACTCTTTGTCTTTGACCTACAGCAACTTAAATGTTTGCCTACTGTTAAACAACCTGCTGAAATGAGATCCAGCTGCGAGAAATGTGCGACATGGATCCTGAACATGTTTGAAAGTCTTTGCCTTCTGTCTTCATAAGGCTAGATGGCATGGAGTTAATTTACAAATCTGTTTCTGAATGTTCAAATGCTAGATTTATGCATATGGTCCATTCATATGATACGTCTGCTTTTTCCCATTCAAGTCTGAGACAAAACTACCAATGATTTCAGGAGGAATAAAGTCATAATTTAAACTGGCAAATAAATATTTTATTAGTTTTTTTTTTTCTTTTTCCTTTTCTTTCTTACAGAGGATGTGTTTCTTCTGGAGACAGATAACCCCAGAACAACGCTTGTGTATGGAATTTTTACAACATCAAGGTAAATGGAGAGATTTGAAAAATGTTACCTTTCTGAACTGCACAATTTTCAAGATGAAAACTGAATGTGATGGACTGTGGTCAAGGCTGTTCTGTGCAATTTTCTATGTCTGCTGTAGCCAGCATTTGCATGCAGGATTAACAGTCTCAGTATCATGCTGCTTGGAGCGAACTGCTCCCTGACATACTGTCACCTGGCCCTGGGAGAACATTTCTGTAGAGGACCACTTGCTACTGTTCAGCAGCGGAAAGCTAGACGACTTCAATGCAGTGAACTCGTGGCATCTGAGAGCACTTAACACCTCCTGAAGGACATCCAGCACCCTGAAAGATCAAACCAGGAATTCTTACATGAATTCATACGAATCATTTCCAGTCTTTCATCTGGCAAATGATTGCACAGATGGCAATAAAACCCAGTCAGCCTCAGTTGGCTATGAAAAGACAAGCTTATATGGCATTTGATCACCTCCTTGCAGCCTCCCTGTTGTCAATCAGTAATATTAATGTACTGTGAGCTCCCAAGGGCAGTGGAAGTACCAGATATGGCTTACTATGTTCAAACTCTCCACAAAGATAGACCAACAGGTGGAACAACAGATTCTGCCATCTCTACCTTCATTTTTCTCACTTTTCTTTTGCCGTCACTGTATAGTGGTAGTATGCAGGATAGAAATAGTTACTACTTACTGATATCTGATATGCTATCCTGTATTATTTAGCTGTTATTACTTACTTTCAAATAGGTATTTTGCTTGGTTTTAAATTTCATTTAATTTATTTTGTCAAATTAGCAAATTATTTACTATTACTAAGATTTCCTTTAGTGGCAATTTCCAGTAAAGAAATCCTTGCATTAAAAAAATATTTTTTCCCAAGAAACTTTTATGTCTTTTTTCATGTGGATCCAGGGATCTGCTTTCTTGAATGTGTGAATCAGCCAGGAAAATATGATTTTGTGATATTTAATTGGGAAAAAAAAAGAATCCTGTAACTTGTAAACATGTGGTGCAGTCTACATTTTATGATTCCTATTGCACAAAAACATAAAATGCTGAGGTTATGTTTAGCAGTAAAACTACACTTACAATTAGGTTGTGGATGCAGCATGCTTGAACTGGAAACACTTTTACCTAACTCTCCTGGTATTCCTTCAGTGGAAATGAGGTTTGAATCACAGGACCATATAAGGTGACAACAAAGAGAAAACTTCACTTTTTCCTGGCGCTCAAGCTGTTTGCTCTCTCTGTTGAAATTTTTACACTCATGCATTTCTGTTATCATGAACCACATGTTCTATGCTTTCTTTCTCTTTTTTTGACTATAGATTGAAATGTGTTACCTAGTTAAATACAGCAACCATAAGGATTTTTACTCCTTAACAGTTCCTTTGTCTTCACCTCTGTAGACTCCAACTCATAACAGTAGCAAGAGAGAAACATCTCCACAAATAACTATTAGTATTTTTATCAAAACCATACAGAGGGAAACCAAATAATATTAAAGTAAATTATTTTGGTGGCATAATCTGCTGTAAATCTAACATAAAACATCTGGAAAGAGTAACTACATTTCTTAAAACCTATTAATACCTACTAAAATTCCCACAAATACCATAGACCCTTTCTCCTCTTAATCCAGATATAGCTGAAGGCAATGTGGATTGCACTTTCCTTGTTTAGACACTATGTGTAATGTTTTCAGGTTTTTTTTCTGGAGGTTTTTTTTGCTCTTCAATTGAAAACAGAGTTACTTGGATTATCTTCCTCCTACAGTTAACATCAGGCAGATTTTAGACTGTCTGGAGTTTCCGCTTTGTTAAGATAAATATCTCAAACCTTACATGCAGTGAGAGAAAAAAAAAGGAGGAGTTAATTCACTTCAGTCAGTCTTAGAATCACTCTAGAAATTATTCCCCTAGTGCCTTCCATCATCACGGGGTGATGGAGGCCATTCAGGGTTTGTGCTGGCTGAGGAGACATCTGAGAGCATTACTGAACCCAAAGCAGGGGAAAAAACATCCCTTTCTTCTAGGGGATCCCCTTGGTTCTCCTCAGAAAGCATCAAACTTCAACTCTTTTGAAGGGGTCTTTGTAAGACCAGTTTTGTGGGTGGATTTGAGGACTGGATAGGAGTAATTCCTTTACAGCCACAACCTGTCCTCATTTTGCTTAGAAAAGCTGGCAACTGACTGTAATAATCTAACCAATTGCAATTGTGTTGGATGTTTTGATAAGTATTTTAGCCATGTATTTTAGGAGACTCATGGAGGTCTTGTGGTTAGTATACTGGTGGGGAGTTCTGGAAACCTGTGCTGAGCTTGGCAGTACAAAGTTTATAAAACTCTTGTCTCACTGAAGTCAGCAATATTTTTGCCATTGATTTATCTGGGTCCAGATTATATTTCTTTTCTATTCAACATTAGGAAATTTTCTTATTCCACCAGTAGGGTAATACCTTCTTCCCTCTTTTTTTCAGTTCACTGTTCAAGAAGGTGCTAGGTCTTAAGGAGTAATGGCTTATATTAGGAAAATAAATTAGTTTATTTTAAATGTATTAAATTCATGCTATAAAAGCATTAAATTGTATTAAATATATTATTTTAGAGTTATCTTTCATTACTGGACCATGCAAAATGATGGAAAAACTATACAACAGTTGGTGGATTGCAACACTTAACTTTTTCCTACTGTCTTCCAGCTCCATATTTAAAGGCTCAGCTGTGTGTGTGTATCATCTGTCCGACATCCAGACCGTGTTCAATGGGCCGTTTGCACACAAGGAGGGCCCAAACCACCAGCTGATTCCATATCAGGGCAGAATTCCGTACCCTCGACCTGGCACTGTAAGTACAAAGATGTTTATGCAGGCTTGCCAATTACTTGTCTTTGTTTAATACATAAATAAATATTATTTATTCCAGGAGAATGGGCTACATGTGACTATGACACTTAGTTACAGTTCAGAACAACTTTATTTGCTTCTCAGCTTGCCATACAAATCATGTAGTATCTGGAAATCTTCTATAAAGAATTAAAAGTCATGCAAAATGCTAATCGCTCTTGCTCTTTCTACTGAAAGGGTGGTAAGAATTATTTCATTAGATGCTAAACATATTGTTTACACGTACATTATATTTTCTGTGTGTGTCTGAACAAAAGATAGCTAAATAAATAAGCATACAAAGACAGTGTTGTGAGTGCATTCTGCAGTCTGGATCCAAATGTCTGTAAATCTGTCTTCAGTCTGTATGAATTTTTCCATAGTCCTCTAAAGTTTTGCAGCTCTGCTGGGATGCTTGGGAGATGTAGTAGGAGAACAAGGCCTCTGGGACTTGTCATCTGACTCGGTCTAATACCGTGTCAGGCACTGAATCTTAGAAGAGAAAACTAGAAATAGATGAGTTTTTATGCCAATCAGTTCATAATAGTTCTCCTAGTTAAGAATGCTTTTTGTATGCCTTGAAATTTTTTCAGGACTTTCTTTCACTGTATTAAGGGTAGTAATAATTTTCCAATAAATTCTGTACACCATTAGAGCTAGCTCTGTTTCCAAGTTTTACAAAAATGTCCCATGAAAGATTTTAAACAAAATTGTTTGGTTTTTTTTCTTTTCACCTTTATGGTGTAAAAAAGTTGCTGTTGGTGCACTTTTGTCATTATTTATTTATTTACTTATTTGCACTATTCTTCATTTAGGTTTAGCAGAAATATGAGGTCTAATATTTCCAACTTTAATGAAGAATATCTAAACTTTCTCTAAAATCTTCTTTAAATCCTTATTTGCTAAATTATGTATGGCAGTGTGGACTTCAGTTGACTCCTATGAAGTCTTCTTACAATTTCTTAAGTCTCAGAATTAAATGAGTATGCACAAAGTCATAAATCATCACTTGATGATGCAGTTATTTTTTTTTTAGATGAACACTTTGTTGCTTTTCGATTTATCACGGGAAATTAAATTTTATTTTAATTTTGCAAGTCACTGCAAGAACCTTGAACCATGTCACTATTTCATTCCTATTCATCTTTGTGATGTAGATCTTTTTCTTTCTCTCTCTTTCTCTCTAGTACACTAATGCTCAGATGCGTGGAATAGCTTTCCCTGTTTACACATTTCTTCATGACATTTTAGTGCAGTTATTACTGACTGTAAGATTTAGGACTTCATGTGCCCAGGTCTCTAGAATTAGCTAATCAATACCTGATATTCCACTAATATCTAATGCTAGCATTATTCTTTCTTTGCAATTCATTCATACAGCTCTAATCTCATGAGTTCTTTGAGGCTTTAAGCTTAAACTTTACAAAAAAAGAAAATAAATGGCCCATTTAAACAGGAAGTTTCGTGCTCTTGTGAGGAGGCACATTCCAGAGTTTCTTCCTGCTTCAGAATATTGTATTTGTATGTGTTTCCTCAACCACTGCCATGTTATTCTTGGTTCACCTCTTAGGCTTATGAGGTATTCCAGATGGACCTAAAGAAATTGGGCAGCACAATGGAAAGGAGAAAAGAAAATTCAGGTTTGGATTTAACATTGTGACAGAAATTACCTACATTTTTCAGATGTGCTGATGATCTCTGCATTTGAAGATAAACTCTTAGATCATAGCTCAAACAAACAATAAAGCCAAAAGAAATTCTTTTAAAATTATCATTGCTGGTTTTCTGATCACTGGCTTTTCTGTGCTTCCTCACAATTCAGCCACAACACAGTATGGTAAAGGTGTATTTTCCAAGCTGGGTCTTGTTTGGCTTTGCTTTTATTTCACTGCCAAAAAGTTCCACTTTTAAATGCATGCCACGAACTCTATTTTTATATGTCAAAGCATCTGTAGAAACTGGGACATGAGGATTTTTTTGCTGTTCAGAATTTCAAGGTTTCAAAGGGTTAACTTTGAATATCCACGCTTGCAGATTATGGGACATGAGCCTCTTTCCTGTGGAACATAGGGGGTTTGGAACTTCTGGGATGCTGGGCTAGACAGGGATGCCTTTTTATATGACATGGAAAATCCTACTTTAGAGTTGCGTAAAGAGATATTAATACCAAATCTCTCAACAGAAATGAATGTGCATTGTGTCGCAGTGCATTGGATAAACAATGAAAAGGCTTTGGTATAGCTTCAGTAGCATTAAATAAAGCAATATGTTCATTTGGCCATAATCAGCTCTTCAGTGTTTGGCTGCCCTTCACTAAATACCAATGGTTTCTTATTTCTCCGCAGGCAAAAATTACTTATGGAAAAAGACAGGAAAAAAGAAATTACATAATTGGCAGCTTGCTACTAAATTCAGTGATGTTTGAGGATAGTTTCCATTTTTCAGAGTTTACAGAAATAGTTTTTGTACCAACAGCATGTAGGGGAATATGCTGTAAATTAAAGAATTCTGTTTCTCTCTGCAATCTAACTGCATGGTGATCAACTGTGAACATAATTATTGTGTAGCCAATTCCTTGAATGAGGTGTGAAGGATACACTTTCAATCCGACCAGGAAAGAGAGAGCTTATAGGGTTCTTCAGTGACATCTTTGGCTTGTCATTGGTTTGTACAGGGGATAGCAAAAGAATTAATTGATTAAAGATGTTTGTTAAGGCTTTGCTCAGAACGACTATATAATGTAAGTTTTTAGGGTCGTACTGGGGTGAACCATAGCACAGACATTTTTGCAGGAAGTCACAGACAAAGGTCTTATGATCTCCATGTCAAGAATTGAAGGATAGAAAATATCAGAGAAAGTCTTCTTTTAACTGAGGTATGCAAGACAGGAAAGTTTAATTTGGACTGCTCATGAAACAGAATCGCTCTGGAGAGGAATGGGGGTCTGGCAGATCACTAGCAAGTAGAATAATCTTGCTAATAGCCCACAAATTTATGAACACAGTTCTTTTTTCAGCATTTGTTACTAATCTTAGAAGATAGCTCCATACATTTCCTGGAAGACTGCGGATGGAAGTGCCACAGAGGGAAGGAGTAGAGCAAACAGGAATTCAATTTTGTGAGCACTCTTAGGGGGCTAACATGTAGAGTCATTTCTAATGAGAACCAAACCAAAACCCTCAGAATAAGAAAGAGTCCATAAGAATCAATTGTCAAGGATGTCACATGGGAAGAAAAACACATATCTGAGCTGGGTTCCAGTTCTTCTTCTTGCAGGTAACTGATTCCAGAGCAGTTTCTTTTAAAGAATTCCCACCAAAGCTGTTCTATTTTGTATAAATAATTAAATCCTAACTGAGACAGAAAATTATTCTAAAGCCTGGGATTAGGCTGCAGTCCCCTGTCAACTTGGTTCTAGGTATTGCCCGGTGGTTGGTTAGTTAAGTGCACGAGATGGAACAGCTTTTAGCAACAAGGGTGGAACAGGCACTCCTGCCTGGTGGTTAGAAGGATCCCCTAGGAGGTGAAGACCCAGATTCTAACATTGGCTCACATCAGGTAGGTTGGAGACATGACTCATATATTCCCAGCGAGTTTCCTAGTGTCTCAGAGTATAATTCTTTTTTGTGTAATTTTAGCCATCTAAAAGCAGGGCATCTAGTCTTAATTACTGACTACAGAGGAAACCTAGGTGGCTAACTGAGAATAAATGCCTGATATTGAGACAGAAGTCAGGTGAGGTAAATCTCACTCTAAGCTACTAGCTATTTTTGTCTCTGTGGTTTTGGCCAAAAATTCCATCCTAGACATAAGAATGGTCCTCATCAAAATAAAAAATTTTCCATGAAATGATTCGTATTGAATAAATCAACTTTTTCCAAGTGGAAAAGTATTGTGTTGAAATATTTCTGAATAGCTCCAATATTCTGAGGAGAGTTTCACAGCTTAGAAGTCTGGTAAGGGGCAAAATGAAAGCTCAGGAGAAGCAAAAAGAAATGTGGTAACGGTGGATGAAAAAAAGTAATGTAAATTAGCATAGGTACATCCAGAGCATTATCCTACTTACTGACATAGCTCCTGATTTCTTCCCACAGTCTTCTTTTAGCTTCACTCTCAGTAAAGACTTGAGATTTCTAAGATTGCTTGTATTTCCTCATGAGGTCCAGAATGCCTCAGGGCTGATTACTTGGGTGGTTCTTCATTACATGTAAAGAAGCCTCCAGAGTATTCATGGACCTCTGTTATTTCTCAGGCATAGGAGAATGTGTAGACAAGATCCTGTGAAGGGTCAGTCTTCTCAGATGTAGATGAGTTGTCATGGGACCCCCTCATCAACTCCATATTATTATTTTTTCAAATGAAGATGAGTCACGGCCTTTTTCACTATCTCATAATCAACGTAATGACTAGAGGGATATTGACCAAATTACAGTTAGTGTTAGATTTTACCTTTTCCCTTTGTATTAAATCTATAACAAACCAACTGCAAAAGTTTGGTGTCTTCCCGTACCAATTGCTTGGATTATTTTTCTTTTTTCAACAGGCAGTTTGGAAGCATAAAGAATGTGGAAATACATCCAGAAGTATGGATCTTTGCCATCAATATGGGTTTTGAAAGTGCAAAAATATGTTTGTGTTTGCTTTATCTGAATTGATGGGAGTACAAAGCTTTCAAGCACTTCATTCCCATTACGGGAACATAATTGCTTTCAGTCAGAGTCTGAAGTGCTCTTTTGGGAACTTTATCAACTATCTGTCAATATTTGTAAATGACTTGGGGATGAAAACTCTCTGAAAGATGGTAAGTATCGTTAAAGCATTGTTGTGCATGTTTCTTACAGTGCCCAGGAGGAGCCTTCACACCTAATATGCGGACGACCAAAGAGTTTCCAGATGATGTTGTGACCTTCATCAGGAATCATCCTTTGATGTTTAATCCCATTTACCCAATACACAAGAGGCCATTAATCATCCGGATAGGAGCTGACTACAAGTATACCAAGATTGCTGTGGATCGAGTGAATGCCGCTGACGGAAGATATCACGTCTTGTTTCTTGGAACAGGTAAGACAAACTTAGCAACCGTTGTTTTCCTCCATTGCATTGTAATTTGCAATCACCTCCGATCTGTTCAACTTATACCTTCAACTTATACAATCAACACTAGTGTACATTGTATTTGGTTTAAGTTATAGTACTTCTCTTGAATATGGTTTGTCTGCAACACGATTCCACATTAGAATCTGATGCTCTCTAACATGAGTAAAAATACCAACATATGGCTTTGTATTGTTTTGTATACGCTCATGTTCGTTATTTAATATATGCTGTGTAAGCTACTTCTGAAGAAAACCAAAATCTGATCAGGATGTTACAAAGGCAGAAATAACAACTCCACCAAAAAAAAAGTAAAACTATGGAAGTATTTAGCAGAGAAAGAGAAACAAATGTTTGGAGTCCTAGCAGTAGTGGACACAGAGAATTTGATCCAAGTATTCTAAAATAATTTCTGTCTAATATAACCTACATTTTGTTTTTTAGTTACATCAACACTTAATCTGGTGTTATGCTTCTGAAGTCTGCAGGGAACAGGTCAAGTGATTCTCCTACTGATCAATTTTGATTTTTTTAAATATTCAGATATGCATCACACTTTTGAATTGAAGCAGACAAGTGGAATGGTACTCTGACTGGACCCTAGGATTCGTTCACGTCTGAAACTCCCGCTGGTTTAACAGGACATTATGGGTTGATAGTCACAAAAGCTAATCTTTTAACTACAGATGGTTTCAAGTAGAACAAAGGAAAAGAACTCCAGGAGAACAAATATATCTCTGAACATCAGAAAATAATTACAGAGATGGCTTGCATTACTTTTACGGTTCACATATTATTAGGGTCCTGGTTGTTTTCTGCTTGTAGAATAACTGTGTGTGCCAACAAATTCACATGGGGCTGGAAATAACCATCCTGTTATAATAGATTTAGGAAGCTGGTGCTAAAATATCTCTCAACAATGTCAGGCTTCTATAGGAGCAGGACTAAAAGGAACTCTCTTCACTCTTCTTAGAAAAACCTCCCCAACTATCAAAATCAGCAGGGTGCTCTTGTGCCGAAGGAGGCCAGCTGCATAGTGTGCTGTATTAGCAGAAGTGTACCCAGCCAGCAGGTTTCTGGAAGGGATTCTTCCCCTGTATTCAGCTCCTGTCAGGAGTACCATGTCCAGTTGTGGGCTACCAAGTACAAGAAGAACATTCACCTAATGGAACAAGATCAGTTGAGGGAGTGTAGCATGTGATGTATGAGAAGGGGCTGAGAGAATGGAGGTTATTCAGAGAAAGCTAAGGGGACACCTTGCTGTTGACAACTGTCTAATGGGAGGAAAAAACGGATCTGGACTCTTCTCAAGGTGCTTGGTGTCAGGGTGAGAGGCAATGAACACAAGCTGCAATGTGAGACATTGCAATTGGATATAAGGGAGAAGGTTTTGCAATTAGATATAAGGGAGAAGGTTTTCACTGTCAGTGTGGTCAAATGTTGGGATAACAGCCCAGAGCGGTTGTAAATTCTTCCTTGGAGACTCAAAGGATTTAAAACCCAACGTGATACGGCCCCAAGCAACCTGCTGTAATTGGACCCACTTTCAGTGGGAGACTGGACCAGATGACTTCTAGAGGCCCCCTTCCAGTCTACAGGCTTTTGCAGTTCAAAGGAAATAGGGAAACAGAAACACTTTGTTCATGTACTTGTGTCAAACCTGCACCAGGTCACCATCTCCTGTACAGTGAATGCTGAGCATGCTGTAAGGCATAGTCAGGGTAGAAGAAATGCTGGGTAATGAATTACATTAGAAATTTCATCAGGTTTTGATCTGGGTATTTTTGTTTTCTTGCTTGGCAGTTGATAAATGAGTTTTAAGGTGTTCTTGAAGGTCTCTCTGATCCTACTTGCAGAGTCCTTGAAAACTACCAAATTACACTAATTAGGACAGGGCTTTCTTCTTGAGGTGGGGTCCTCCCCAACATGTAACCACATTTTCTTTTAATGCAGCTAAAGTTCTTGACTTTGGGACCCTTTAGTGTAATTTTCTTCCTTTCCAACAGAAGCAAAGAAAAAAGTCTTTGTACGCGACAGTAGAAAGTAGTGTTAGTAGTTACTGTCTTTACTACTGTTATACAACTCCACAAGAACTCTTAGTAAAAGAGGAGGTTTGGTTTTCTGTTAGCTTTATTCCTTGCCAAATCACAATGTTTAGCCAGAGTAATAGCTTGGTAGGCTAGTACAGGTCTTTCAAATGAACATTTTATGCATTTTGTTTATATAGTGGTGCCATCGTTTTAAAATGCTCTATAAAATCTAATGTTAATTGGAGGAAAACTCTACTAAAGATCAGTAGAAAAGAGAAGACATTTTAGTTTCCAACCAATATAGGATTCTTAATATAGCAGTGATAGTTAATAACAGAAAGGTATTGAAAATTTGAAATGTGTATGAAAATGTACAATGCTGATATTTTACATTTCTGTAATTCTACAACAGATAAATACGATTCATTTCATTTTATATTTTGATTAGCTTTTGACTGTTTTTAGGTGATCAGTGTGGCCTCACAGACACACCTGTGATTTGCTAAAAACTTTAACATACCTCAGCTTGTTCTTACGTTTTGTTAATCCTCTTCTGTGTAGCAGCACGGGGTCCGTTATGGGACAAGTACATAAACTGGAGCTCTTGATACTTTATATTCGTTGCTTTATCTTCTGCATTACACTGGAGACGAGGATCATTGTCTGCTTTCTAGTTAGTCGGAGGGGAGGCATTGTTCTTCCTAAGTAAGGCACAGGACATTAATAGCTTCCAAGGTCCTCCTCAGAAGAAATTGGTGCAATGTAAGTTACTGTGTTTTTCAGCCCTTTTAAATAAAAGTGATCAAGTTTCAGCCACTGAGAGGAGAACTTGTTTTCTTTATTCTCTGCTTTCTGTGAGACTCAGGAGGATTCGATAGAGATATTAACTGTCAAAAGGAATGCAGAGGGGATTTGCTTTGGTGTCATTTCATCCTGGCAAATGCAAAAACCACATTGTATAGGAGAATTTCATGTGATAATTTCCTTGGGAGCCTGGAGCCCCACAACCGGAGACAATGGGACTTGACACCTGGTGACAATTACACTGAGCTTGGATGATGAGTTACTGCTGCTGAACTGAGATGTTGCCAGCCATGTCTGTCACTGTCAGTGACCTGTCTCATGCTTGAAATTGGAGTGTTTTATGTCTTGCCAGATGTAAAGCACACAAAATGTTTAGCTTTTCCTCTCTTCCTCCCCTGTAGCCTTAGTAATAAATCAGTTCCTGAATGCAAGTGAAGAATAACAGAAGTATAAAGCTCCAAGAACCCCAGTGGTTTTCGTCATGTAGCCATGGCATGGGAGGGTATAGGCAGCTGTGTAATTTTTTCACAATAACAAGAAATAAATGTAGTGTTTCCTTTGCACCCCCAGACAAAAGCGCTGAGCTCTCAGGGGCTGGTCCATTCCCAGAGTTAGTACATTGAAATCCCAGGGACAGACATTGTTCTTACAGCATTCTACTCGCTTTTCAGATAACGATCTCCTATTTTTCCTATGCTTTTCGACCTGAAGACTCCTAAAGCACTTAACAAAACTTGCTAGATTTGTTAATTCCACCCAAAGGGATTTCTTCACCTGCCTCTGAAATGAGCTGATTTAGAGTAGGGAGCAAGTCTTTATGGGTAGAGAGCAGTGCTACAAGAGAAGAGTGCTGTATACCTCATCTTCCCAAACAGAAACCCCAGGGATTATTTACTTTATATATTGTAAACACTAATTTGCATACTTGACAAGGGCAATGATGATGATATTCTTCTCTATGCAATGAGTAATAACATAATCAGTTCAGGGATTTGAGGTTAGAATTTTGCTTTCATTATCCTGTTTCTGTGGTAGGCCAGGACTCACTCCTGAAGTTTTTGATTCACCCTAGAGTTTGCTGTAATTACTTCACTCATTTCAGTTATATCTACGTATCTATATTTTAAAGAACCCAAGCTTTCAACATTTTCTGTTTTCTGTGTATCCTTAAGAACAGCAGTAAAACAGCATGAGAACATTTTCCTGAGATTAATATTTATTTTTTAAGCATGCCACCTACTGCTTGCAGTATGAAAGCCTTCGGTCAAAGTACACACAGATTGCACAACTGAAAGATAATGCATGGGGGTTTTTATTGCTCTTGCTGTTATGAAAATATTTAAATGTCTAGGTCAAACTTAAACAGCCACGGATACCAATAGGATTTTTTTCAACTCCTTGTTATCGAGATAGGATGCATTTTTGTGGAAAGAGATCTAAGTTACTGTCCTGAAAAGGCACTTCAGACTTCAGTGTGGCTTATTCAGATGATTAATGTGGGCCAAATGCATCTGATGTGGCATGAGGCTGATCGATGTTTCTTATTATCTTTTCTTCTCTGATGCAACACTTCTTTTTAAAGTCTGGATTCTGGAAGTGCCTTCAGAGCATAATGCTGTAATACTTGTTTTCATGGTGTTACATGGTGGCTTTCTTTTTCGAAAACTAACCCTTGCTGACAACGGTAGCCTCCAGTAACACAACAGCCAAGATCATGTAATGAGCTACAGATTCTAACGGAGAGAGATAATCTGGTCAGAAGAGCAAGCTTGCCTCCCACAGACTCACTGGCTGGAGCTTCGTGCCTGTGAGCTCGGGAAGATGATGTTGCACAACGTTGGCACAACAGGCAGCAGACACAGTTTCCTTCTTCCTCTTGGTCATCCTGCCTGAGTCATTCAAAACCTTTAATTGGCCAACTCAACCAAATCTTTCTCACAGCCTTTTAAGGAGATACATAAGTTAAAAGGGTGTTCCTCCACCTGTTTCATTTTCCCTGTTCAGTTTTTGTTCAAACAAGATCACAGTGTATGCCAGAAGACTGACCAGGCTGGGGCTATGTGAAAGTTTTCCCCTCAAGTGTGAGCTCATTAGACATTTGTATCTGTCTTTTTCTTCTTTGATGCAACTTGAAATGACTTTTAAAAGTTTTGCAGTGATGCTGCTGTGAGCTGGAAAAAAATTACACCCATTTGACAGATGGGTGAACTAAAGAACAGAGAGGTTAGGTGGCTGTGGTGGGAACCCTGACTTACAGCAGACACCTAGGGACAGCAGAGAGTATGGGGACCTGGCTCTCAGCTGTAACTGCTAACCTGCCACCGTCTCAGGTGCTCTGCTGAGGCTCAGCATTTTCAGAAAAAAAAAGAGAGATTTTAATTGTTCTGCAAACTCTTTGCTTGTTTTTTTCTTCATAATGTTGTTTGTTTGATCAGATTCAACTCAGATTACAGACCGAAAGTAATTCAGCTGCCATCAGGCTGACAGGTACAACATGGAAACGAGTTTTCAGAAGATCTCTAGCAATGTCTGACACATAAGGGAGGGGGATTACTGCAGGAGGGCTCTCTGTGAAACTCCTGGCAGTGTAGCAGTTGGTATCCATTGCAGTAATTTTTTTTATGTATGTGGAAAAGTCAGATTTTTCATTTGTTGTTCCATTTGTTCATGTGACATGGCTCAGGTTGATGGGTCCTGTCTCTCTTTGAGGCTCACAGTACTGATGGCTGCAGTATTCACTTAGGGATGGGGAAAGAAAAGCTACTCAAAATTCAGAGAGCAAAATTTTAAAAACATGCAAGTTCAGCTTCTGGAGTACAGATTGCAGCCAAACACCTGTGTATTTTTCGTTGCTGTTCATTAGGCTTTGCCTTTTTGATTGCCCATGGACAGTCAGACCAGGAATTAGTGTAGTCAGGCGTCCAACTGGTAGTCTAGTCTACTAGTCCAACTGGTATCAGTGAAACTTAGCTGATTAGCACCAGCCCAGAATCATGCCCTGCATTCCAAGGAAGTGGTTTTTTTTCCTATTTTTATTATTATTATTAGTCTCTCCTTCCTTCCTTGGAACATTTATTGGACTCTCTTCCCTCTCAATTTGTTTCCCGGTCTGCATTCTCTCTATGCAGTGTTTTAGCCTGCAGGATGTTAGCACTTTCCTCCCTTGCTGTTCCCTCTTTCTCAGTCTTCTCAGGGGGAACATGATCTCAGTCACATTGTCTTCCATGTAAAGCCGGGAGACTGCAGTTGTTCAAGCAGGTCTGAAACTGAAGAACAGTCATTATGAGTTGCCCTTGTCCTCTTGCCATGAGCTTGAAAGAGATTCCTTCTCATTTGTCCATCTGCCCTTGACTCACAGGCTGCTGGGCAGATGGGAGGCTGCGAACATCTCCCGGTGAAGTCAGGGAAGTGGTGAGCATAAATCTGTGTTTTCACTTCATACATCCTAGTGGTGGATTGATATTCTGGAGACACAATAGCTTTTTCATGACTATGTGAAATCATAACAATGTAGAACTGTTTTCAAGTGGATTTCTGGAAGTGACAAGTAAACAGAGAAGGAAACCATCCTGTTCTTTTGTACGATTTTTACAGAATAAGCTTGCAAGTTCATACACTGACCTAAATATGAAAAAAATTGACTTATACTTGTTTGGTGATCTTTTATGTCTGTCTCGCAACACAGAAGATTATCTGTTGTGAAATACACTGGGAAACAGCTCAAGCACTGCTACTTTGCATATATCTCCTGCAGTGCACAGTGCTGCGTCCTTTCCAACCTTCCTTCTGACCAAAGGAATTTAGTTTGCTGCCTTGCCATTAAAGGAAATAAGCAAAACTCAAATGTACCATAAGGTTTCTGACATGACCATGTATAAGTGACTTAATTTGTCAGCTACTATGCTTATAGTGGAGACCTCAGTACTACTGAGAAAGGAACAAGAAGTGTTTTCTGGGCACAAATATTTGTTTTTCATTTATTGAGGAAAAGGCTGAGAAACAGTAGAAAAACTATCTTTAGAAGCAGTGGAGGACTATAGCTGACAAGCCATGTATTGTTGGAAGTATGTGTGTATATATATATTTATATATATGTATATATACAGACTATTGGAATTCCTTGCTTTAATTGGTTTCATTTAATGAATAGCTTTTTATTGCCTACTTTTCTTACCATGAATATTTATTTTAAATTTTGTATTAAGTTTACTAATTTATTTAAAACAAAGGGACATTCCTTTCTGCAGTGGTCTGTCCCTCATGGTACAATACTGAGTCAAAGCAAATGGTAAAATATTGAGTCAAAGGGAATGAATACCAAGGTAAACAGTCCTTAACTCTGTGTATTTTGCTAGGGTGTGACAAAAAGGTAGATAGGAACCTAGTTTTCAAATAAGAAAGGTTGTTAGGACACAAGGGCTTGGCGTCAGACATTATCAGTATTTTCTGTGCCAGTGCCCAGGATAAAATCTCCCCTCAGGTTCTGATTTCAGTCTGGGGCAATGTTTGAAGACCAAAGACAATTCAGGAATTTTAAATGTGTGGCATGTGCTAATGGATAATGGAAATAAACCGGTTCTTCAGAGGCTCAGCAGCCTCACATTCCTTTGCAGGTAAGGTCACTGTCAACATGCTCAGTGCCCTGCATGTCAAGGTTACAGGTAGTTGACACTGCAGACAGCTGAAAAAAAAACCCACAAAAGGCTGCAACTCCTTCCTGCACTTCTGATACAATATTTTGTATGGTATAGTGTGATGTTGGAGAGAGGACATTGATAAAAGGATGCAAAGAGGCAGAGGTAGACTGGACTTAAGCTGTGTGTATTTGTGAGTGAGTTGTTCCCTTCAGTAGGCGCAGAAAGACACACACACACAGGCACATGCTTCTCCTTTGCTCCAACAAGGGATGCATCTGCAGCAGTTTAAAGCTTCAGTGGGTCCTGGCAGTTAGTAAATCTCTCTCAGGTTCTCATAGCTTTTCTAATACTGGCACCCAGTGTAGACCACATCTGTGCTATCACAAGATTTAGTTTCAGTAAAGTTTCTTCGGAAGGAACTGGTTTCTTGTGCCGTTGTATAATAAGGATAAATGTTCTCCATAGAAAATTCTCATGAAAAATTCATGCCTAATGTGCCCTGAGCATGTACAATTGATAGCTACACATTTTTCTGTCTTGTCAGCTTTCAATTTCTCTTTTAATGACAAAATACTGCAATGTGGTCTCTGTGTGTGGTCGGATCATTGCATAGAAATATTCTGGCTTTACATTTTATTTTTAAAAAATAAAATATATTATTGTTTGCTGGCTTCCTCCAGGGAAATAAGAAGATGTAAATTATTTACCATAACCAACTTGCCCTGCAGCTCCAGCCATGGAATTTAGTTGCTGACCCTAGCAAAATTGCCCTTTTTCAGTTTACGTTGTCTGCATCATGAATTGCCAAACAGGAAGCTGAGATTTCCTTTCCTCAGTCACTAATTCATAAAAATACATGTAGATACTTACCTATATCATAATAATGTACTAATGTATTACTAACCGCACAAGTCTATATTGCTCATAAAATTTTTGAAGGCTGAACAGAATCTATACCATGTGGTCTTATTCCTCAGAATCAATATCAAGCAAATAAATTTATTCTACTCAGACTAGTTTCCAGGCCTTTCAGGCAAGAGGAATTCTATGTGCTCTGGTTTTACCAAGTAAAAATACCTCATGACTGTCTTTGTGATTCTCCTACAGTCAGCCTTTTCTGCCGCGTCAGAAATACTTCAGTGGCTGTCTCAGCCTTTAAGAGCCTTCACAGATGGACCCCTCCATGTCATATGTTCTTTCCACATAACAAGTTTGGAAAACTAATCACAAATATCCCTTTGGTCTCACTCTTCACATCTACCTTGTAAAAAACACTGCCATTGCCCCTTCCTTCTTACTCCTTTGGACGGAGTGGTTTTGGAGGATTGAAACTGTATTTTTAGAGGGCAGGCATGATAGAGCAGCTACAGTATCTTCACCTTGTTTTTCCTTTTTCCCTTATGCACCAAAATATTATCTCCTACCAATACGTAACACACTTGATTATTGTTTGACTTTCCTGGTAGAAAAAAAAACTTTCATCCTGCTTTTTTTAGCTGAAGATAGACTTATTCTTTGGAAGGTTTGCCTTTCGTGTCATCACTTGTCCTTACATTTTATTATTGAATATGAAGATGTATTAAATTCTGCAGTAGCTCCCTTTTGCCTGCTTATATTGATGTATTTTTGCTTTAAGATCATTAGGATAGACACTGCCTCTGTTTGTGTGTTTGTACAGCAACTGCCACAGAAGACACTGATGGATCTTTTTGGGTAGAATCGTAACAGTCATGGTAGTAACTCCAATCTTACCGTGACTTCTTCATGTTTATACACAAAGAATAATACTATATACAGTCATGTACAAGTTATCCACAGTCTGTGACTTGTGAAGGAATCACCTCATGGCTCTTTCTGACCCCAAACCCTTGAAATTACTCAATATCTTTTAAAGTCTTTCTCTGTGTCATAGTGCTTGCTTTCATGGTTTTGGGGTTTTTTTTCAAAATTGAGAATGGTGCATCTGCTTTTTTTCTTTCTCTCTCTTTTACATTGTCTCACTTTTTCTTCTTTTCCAGATCAAGGAACTGTACAAAAAGTTGTTGTCCTACCCACCAACTTCTCTGCAAGTGGAGAACTCATTTTAGAAGAGCTGGAGGTTTTTCAGGTTTGGCTTGCTCCTGCTTTTACTCTTCCAATGTGTATGTTCACACAAACACTTTGTTCTAAGAGACTTTGGCAAGGGCAACTGTGACTTAATAAAAGATTAAGTAAATGTGCATACTGTCAGCTTGATACCCACCCAAAGTGGAATATAAAATGTCCACTGCTATGAAGGCTGTAGCTAGCTGAAGTAATTTTTTCCCCCTATATTTAAGGTGCTTATTTTTTGTGTTGTTATACTGGCTAGAAAGATTTTGATAATCACATTTTTGCGAGGTCATGCTATAGTGGCTGCCAGAAGGCAACTTTTATCATTGGCATCACGTATTGAGACTGTCACTGTTTACAGATGGATTCTAAGATTTCTGTACTTCTTTGATTATCTGATAATCTTAATGATTCTGAGCTGCAGAATGGAAGCAAACTAGTGTTGATTTTGCTTAACTCCTGTTCTTCAAAGCCACGTCTCTGGAGTCAAGAAAGCTACAAGCTTAATACAACATAAGCTGAAAAGAAACACAAATGGCTACAGGGAGAAGTAAGGGAATAGCCTCTGTCAATCACTCAGGCATGTAGCAGCTTGTAATAACCTAAAAAAAATGTTCACCCTCATGTTGAAAAATCTCTTTCAAATTTTTGAATGGGCTATTCTTTAAAACAGAGTCTTGAGGCAAATGGTAATATGCATCTAAAAACTTAGTTAAGGGTTTTGTCATGAACTTTTCTCTATTTCATTTCATTAGTCTTCCTAGGCTTTTGTTGAAGACTTCCCTTTAAAAAAGACACATGTGAGTAATATTACCTAAAGAATAAGTTTCACCCAAGTATTACCAATTCCATCTACTGAAAGGTAAATTGGTACAGCAAGCAGATAGGTGGGCTGAGAGGAATCCTGACCCTCAACCTTGTTTCTGGGCCTCTGTGCACAGACCTTTTTATCCTGAACCCTAAAAATATGATATGGTAACCTCTGCCATAGCAATCTGTGTGGGCTGGATGGCAGTATTTTGATGAGTCTGTCCAAGAGGGAGAATGAGATCACTGGCTGTGTGCTAGTAAACACTGAGAGTAAGCAAAGCACTGATTCCTTTCCAGAGTATAAGCAAGGAAAGGAGAATGTGGCATCACATCCAGTGTTGCATTTGACCTTGAGTCTCCAGACAGTTCATTAAACACTACAGCAGCTTGAAACTCCTTCAAACCTTTGCCAATTCACATGATTCGCAGCCAGATTTTCTAGTCCTAGCCTCCCTGCTCTGCCTGTAGTCCACTGCATTAATCCTGGCCCACCATTACGGCTTTCCTTTGTCACTGAGCAAACACTAAACCTTTAAAAATGCTGAACATTTTTATTAACATCATTTTAAGCATTTGTTTGTATGAGAATAATGAATTGCTTCACTTGCTTAAGGCAATGAATGTGATAATTCCTTTTCTAGCTCTTTAACGTTGGGTTTGGACATAGACAATAATAGACGGCAGTGATGACACACAGTAGTATACAATTCTGTCTCCAGGAAAAAAAAAAACATTCCATAACACACATGCCATTTTTAATATTCCAGTCATTGATAATCTGAAAGTATATGTTGGATGGTAACCAAACTGTATGCACTGTAGATAATGTGTAGGAGAAATATGACATAGTCTTGTCTGGATCATATAGTAAATATGCATGCTATTGTATGATTTTTCCTTATCATCATCATGAAAGAACAAACATAATTTCTCATTACAAAGTGAGAGTAATGGCTTCAAAACACATTGCTTCTATATTGCTGAGGTAACACAGATGGAGATGATTGATTAGAAGTGTACAAAAACTTGTTGATGTACAAGCAATAATAATGAGGTCGAGTTTAGCCAATACATTTAGTGAGACGTTAATTTTATTGATGTCATTTGTTTAGTTCTGAAAATAGAAGAAAATTAGTAAGAGTGATTTCTTTCCAAGATATAAGAAGTCATAGTTTTCTTAGATATATGTTAGGTTTTATTGAATTATAAATTTTAATGTTGGGACAGTATTAACAAGAGAGTCCTTGTAAATGTGGTTTGGAATTTTGTCTTTCAGAGTAATTCTCCTATAACAACAATGAAGATTTCATCTAAAAAGGTAAAGAGAAGTGTAATGCTTACTCAGTGCTTATTAATTAAGAAATAAATTGACTTAAAGATGTTAGAATACCAACTATTCTGCAGCATACTAAATATAGACAGGAGATTTTCCATAATGAATATGGAGAAACTTGACTGAAGTTTGCATGAGCTATTTATATGCCCCAGAGCCACTAAGATAAAACAATTTCTATTAATTATGTGGAAATGTTGATTTTTTTCTTGTTTTGTTTGACAAGTAAAGAAAAAAAAAGTACTAAAAGAAGTTTGCCCTCCTTATAAGAAACTTGCCCTCTATAAGTCCAAAATAAAAATTTTCTCTTGGAAGTCTGGTCAATTAAAAAAGGCAGCGTTCAGTTTGTTGGGTCAATGGTGCAACTGTGCATGTTTGTTTATTAGTAATAATGATGGCATTAAGAATGATGGAAAGAGCTGAGAGGTGGGTCCGTACAGACCTCACGAAGTTCAACAAGGCCAAATGCAAGGTCTTGCATGTCGGTTGGGGCAACCCCAAGCACAAATACAGGCTGGGCAGAGAATGGATTGAGAAGAGAAGGACTTAGGGGTGCTGGCTGATGAGGAGGTTAACGTGAGCTGCCAGTGTGCGCTTGCAGCCCAGAAAGCCAGTCGTGTCCTGGGCTGCATCAAAAGAAGTGTGACCAGCAGGTTGAAGGAGGTGATTCTTCCCCCTCTGCTCTGCTCTCACAAGACCCCACCTGGAGCACTGTGTCTAGCTCTGGGGCCCCTAACATAAGAAAGATGAGCATATTCGAGCAAGTCCAGATGAGGGCCACAAAGATGGTCAGAGGGCTGGAGCAACAGCTCTACGAGGACAGGCTGAGAGAGTTGGGGTTGTTCAGCCTGGAGAAGAGAAGGCTCTGGGGAGACCTTATAGCAGCCTTCCAGTACCTGAAGGGGGCTACAGGAGAGATGGGGAGGGACTCTTTATCAGAGAGTTTAGCGATAGGACAAGGGATAACCACTTTAAGCTGAAAGAGGGTAGATGTAGATTAGATATTAGGAAGAAATTTTTTCCTGTGAGGGTGGTGAGGCACTGGCACAGGTTGCCCAGAGAAGCTGTGGATGCCCCATCCCTGGAGGTGTTCAAGGCCAGGCTGGATGAGGCTTTGAGCAACCTGGGCTAGTGGAGGGTGTCCCTGCCCACAGCCAGGGGGTTGGAACTCGATGATCTTTAAGGTCCCTTCCAACCCTAGCCGTTCTCTGATTCTCCGATTCTATGATTTCTACTGAAATGTTAAACACTCAAACTAAAATATGTCTTCCATGATTTTGCAAGCAACATGTTGCTCAATATTTTACAAAACTACTAATACGTAAACATTTTTCACCAAACTGAATCCAGTGTAATTTTTTAGTTTTCTGACAGAAAGATCAGGGGAGCTTCTAGGGTTTTGTTCAAAAGTCTTTTATATTTTAAGAATAATTGATTAATTGTTTTTGAGTAAAACAGTCATTTTGGCCCAGATTTTGGTGATGACCTAGTCACCTTGATCTTCTTTTGCAAAAGCTCTCATTTATGATAAAAGTTCTGTTGGCTTATTTTTCCAGGTATATAAAGCTATCCGAACCTGGCCCTAAGCCCCAGCATAATCCCTAGCTTTTATGTCTTGGAAATCTGTGCTCTGGAGAATCCAACTAGGAATTCTGCATAATATTTATTGAAGTGACTATATGCAGGGAAAATACTTAGGTCAAAGGCTTGAGCCAATAATCCTCACTGAATAAGAACCAAGTTCTCAAATCTGAGCATTATTAACTTAGCCTGTCTGCCTCAGAACAGAACAATGACACTCAATGTCCAAAAAACATTAACATTCTCCAGTTTTTCTAAGTGTTTTCTAACAGGAAGATGGAAATATTATACGCCTGTTCACCTGGGAGAATTCTGTTTGCCTTGGCTTTATATGTATTAGTGGCTCCTCTCTTGGTCTTGAGTTAATTCCAAAATTAATTGAAAGGTTTTTAGGTGTGTTGGCCAAATCTCAGGTGAAGATCCTCCACATCTGAAATAAATCTTTCCATTTCCTTCTACAGCAACAGTTGTATGTGAGCTCAGACGAAGGGGTCACCCAGGTGTCCTTGCATCGCTGCCACATCTACGGGACTGCCTGCGCTGACTGCTGCCTGGCCCGAGATCCATACTGCGCCTGGGATGGCAACTCCTGCTCCAGGTTTTATCCCACAGGGAAAAGGTGAGCAGTTTTAAGGAGCCCAGTGCAGTCTGCAAGGAAAAAAGGCTTTTGTTCTGCTGTGTAGCTTGGGGTGATGTAATGTGATGGAGAAGTGGGATGTCATTCCTTTCAGGAGCATGTATAAACGATACCTCCATAGCTATTGTGCTTGGCATTGTTCATCACCTAGGAGTGTATGCTGCAAGACCGTCTGATAAAGAGCTTGCCTTTTCATGTTTAAAAAATGCACTGAAAAAAAAAAAAAAAAAGAAAAAAACCCCATTCCTAGTCATAAATATTAATCCTTCTGTCTCATGCACACAGAATCAGTGAAACATTTGTTCCCTTTGTGTAAATTCAGTTGCTCACTATGGATGTAATTATGATAGACCTAAATACAGCCAAATACCTCTGAGACTGTCTGAGGAATAAATTCTTTTTTTGTTCCTCATTTGCTCCAAAGTAAAAAGAATTATTTCCATGGAAATTTTAGGCAAATGTGATTTCCATGTAATGCCTGCAGATTTGGGGGTTTTGACATGAGATTTATTAAAGAAGACAGGGAAAGCAATTTCTCTTTAATTTACAAGAGAGCTATTAGTCCATCTCATAATTCTTATGCAAAAACAGGAGCCTCTTTCCTCCTTCCAATGGATATATTTAATAGCAGGAGGCTGGAGTGAGCTCTTGTGTTACTAAGAATTCACTTAATATACAAACAAAGCTACAAAATGCACAATGAGGTGTTACTGCAAAGGAGACAAACCTTTCAGATATACACCAGAGCTTTACTCACTATGTGCTACTGTTCTCACTGCCTGCACCTGAGCTGCAGACACAGAAGGCCAGATACAGTTAATGGGCTTTACTCCTTTACCTGTATGGAAGGAGGCGGTGCACAGAAACAGGCAAAGCTTGTCTCTGCTTCAGTGACCCAACCAGCTGATGGCAATGTCATCCCCTGGGATTAAAGACGATTTCTTTTGTTATTGTAAAGTTTTCTTGATTCATTCCTTATTTCAGACTAAAAGTCAAAGCCCAACCTGGCCATGTAGCAATTGCTAAAGTACCTGGGGCTTTTGCTGCTTTCACTCAGCATATTCAGACTCCAGTCTGCAAACTGATTGTTTTCTTCCATGGAACAAAGGTCAGAGGACAGGGAGGAGGAAAGAAAAGAAAAATCCCCAAGTTTCAGGCCACCTAACTCCTACACTAACATAGTTGCTGAAAGGTATAATGAGCAGTCAGGTATACCTGGTCTGTGCAGTTTCCAGTGGATTCCTTGCCATCCTCATTATATACACCCAGGGTTATTTCCATTGGGGCTTGCATTCATGCTGACATTTTGTTTGCAATTTGCTTTTTGTATCAAACCAAAACAAACACCTAAAACTGTATGGAAAAAAAATCTGGTCTTCATATGAAAAGGAAATGAGTAATCCCTTTATCTAATGGGAGATTATGAAGGAGAAAACATTGGCAATTAGAGCCAAATCCCATAGTCTAGACAGTAGTATCTTTCTGCTGGACACATTTGCTTATTTGCTTCATTTGACCCTTCTGTCTGCCATGAATTATTTTGGTTCCTCATCCAACATCATCCAACACTGATTCACCTCAAAACACCTGACAGTATTATCTTTTATTTTCTAACCACCACCTTCTCAACGGTTTTTTTATAAATACCAAAGTGTAAGTGTACATTCTCAGAACTGCTTAATGCAAGCAGCGTGTCATTTCTGAGTGTGGAGCAGCTCGCGGTAGCACAGGAATCTTGAAATTCACTCAAATTCTTCATTGTCTCCTTTGACTCACACAAATAGTTCACAAAGGTTAAGGTCCCAAGGCATAAGATGAAATACTTGTGATGGTAAACATAAAAAATATACTTGGAATGTTAGAAATTACTCCTTTGAAACATCACCTTTCAAACGTTTCCTTTTAAAACAATGCAGCAATGCAGTGACGGATCAGGTAACATGGGATTATAAACACTGTCTGTGGGTGTTTGTGCAGTACCTGGTATTGTGTGGCCATGGAGGCATCACCTTTCACTCAGTGGTACGGGAGCTCCCAGGGCTTTTTATGGTTTCTGATCTTGCAAGTCATTAGTGCATAGTTCAGAATACAGCTGTTACATATCCCAGAAGCAGCAATTTATCACCAATATATTTTTTGTTGAACTTGATATTGAACTAACTTACAGAATATTCAGCAAACAAAATAATATATTTTAAGAATAAAAAAATCAGGTACCAGATTTTCATGCACTGTATTCTGTGAGCTATGACCTCCTAGCTGAGGAGGACTGAAATGCCAGTGTTCCTAATCCCAGTAAGGCCCCTAGCTAATCTGTCATCCAAATAGTATAGCAAAGTCCCATTTAAAAGTATTCTGAGACTTGATGAGCTTGAGTATCTTTTGGAAATAGTCACATACCCTCAAGTAGAGGACAGAAATAAATCTTAGCTCTTCACCACTCTGGATGAATACTTCAGTCACTCTGCTACGAAGGTGGCTACAGGCACCAAAAATAAGGTGCCTACCCCAGTCAAGGAGGGAACATGCCCTATATCATAGTTTTCTGTTGGTGTATTACATATGAGCACCATGACTCTTATGCATCTCATTCTTAGGTGCTTGCCTTTATGAAGAGTTCCAGCTGGGGGTTCTGGCTTTGAATGTTAGGTCTTGCAACAGTGAAGCTCTCTGTCTGTTTCATTCATCACCTCTAACTCTTCCATCTCTATACCTACATTGCAAAACTACTTACCAAAAGCAGAACCATTTTATAAACTTCAGCAAACTGGTTGTTCCCTTAAACAGTATCTTCACTCTAGCAAGCTTGCCAAGAGTAAAGCACATTCACAGTAGGTCATGAACTGTCCCTAACAGTTGATCCAGTAAAAAAAAAGAAAATCCGCAAAAAAAAAACCTGTTTTTTTTCAGGGTAGCTATATTGGAATAACATTTTGTTTTTACAAAATATTTCAGGAGGAGTCGTAGGCAAGACGTGAGACATGGAAACCCTCTGACTCAGTGCCGAGGTTTCAACCTGAAAGGTACTATAATTTAGGGATCCTCGTGCTATATAAAGAATGCATGGCTTTCCTTTATGTGATTCATCATAACTCACATTCTCTGTGTGGTTTACTGGTAAAGCATAATTATTTTCCAATTGTGACTTTTGTTTTGATTTTATTTTAACATCTTTCCTTGCAATTATATGAAACTTGCGTAAATATGATAAAATGATGAACCATGAAATACATAGTTCAGCATACATGAAATGAGAAGCTGACAGTGTTGACTAGAAACAGGGACAGTTAATTGGAGGGCTTTTTTATTTCTAAATCCCTTCAGTCTTTGTTAATGCCTCTTCATGCATTTAAGTCTTGGACCTCAGAATTATTCTGCCATATTGAGTTTTGGAGCACATCTTTCAACAAACAGCAGGTTCTAGGCCTGTCTTTGAGTTATGATTATTCCTTTCTCCTTTTACACAATAAAATAAACTGTTCCAAATCTCTTTATGAAGTCCCTTTCTTCCAGCTGTGCAACTTTTTAGTCAGTCTGGCGTGGAGTGGCTGGATAGGGTAGCCAGTGCTCTGCTGTCCCAGCTACTAGTTTCTCCAGATTGATGGACACCAGTCAAATATGGGCAGCGTCATAGTAAGAGTAGACACATACATAGAGGCAGCTTAGTCCTCCTCAACCGCATACGTCTCTGAGCTCGGTGGTGGTAATGTATGCCATTAAACCAAAGGCACATGTTAGAGAATTATGCTCCTTTCACCTCTGTTTCTGAGCATGCATTTTGAAGTGCATTCTCATCTGTACTATCTGGAGACCAAATAATAGACTTGATTGTAAATTTTTTCATTGAATTTTTTTAATAAAAGAACAATACATTAAGAGTTACATTTGAAAGGTACAGTTAAAAATAATTACACTTAAATGGTCTCCACTGGTTTTGGGAAGAATCTCCTGGACCAAAAAGACCACGACAGTCAGTTGGGTGTAGATCCCTCAGGCCAAATGTTGCTAATTGTGCTCTAGCTGCCAGTCTACAGTGCCAGCAGGCCTTTCCCCATCACTCAGTGTTAGGTTATTTATATGAAGGTATAGTTACAGGTAGTTACAAAAGGTGATCCCACCATTAGATCTGAGAGATATGAGAAATCCATATTGAAGCTTAGCCTCTGAATCACGAAGTAACTTGAGCTACATGTCCTACCTTGCAGGCATGTGCTGTGGCAACCCCCCATTGTCTGTCCCGAGGGTGGGTGTCTCCTCTTTCGATGTGGAAAAATTGAGAATGTCAACTGTCTGATTTCTGGGATGAGGGGAAACAAAAGTTTAAACTTTGGCAGTCTTGTGAAACAGGTTTCTTGTTTTCCAAACTTATTTTTTTTTTTTTTTTAACGTGGATGTATTTATAGGTTTATGTGTTTTAGAAACTTTATAAAGGATGTTTTGGAGACAGCAGTGGGATATAGCATAGGTAGATGGCAGTTGTTTCCACAGTGGAAAAAAAGATAAAAAGAAACAGCAACTTAGACTTTCAAAATGTAATTAAAGCCATTTATAGCAAAACTGCTATGTTTGGGGAAAATATGAAACCTACTTAAAGGACAAAAGAACAGAGAGTCAGGCAATAGCAAGAAATATTCCGAGTTCATAGGGAACCAAAATCTTGAAACTAAGTCTTTAAACATGATAGGTTGCATGCCTGAGACCTCTCAGCATGTATAAACTCGAAATTTTTGGCATATCGCAATTTTAAAATAGATCGTGAAGAACTAGGGTCTTGTATGCCTGCTTTTCAAAGGTTCTGTTTAATACTGTTATGCTTGTGTTAGCCCTTATAGCCATTTGAGATATGCATTGGTATTCTCTCAGTCTTTTTCTTGGCATATATAAGTAGTAGTAGCATGGAGTAGGTAAGAAGTTAGATACATATTGATCAATTAAACAAGCAAAATGCCTTTCTGTGGTACACCTAGTTCCAGTGTACATAAAAATAATAATGTGTTACAGCTCTGATTCTCATTGTTCCACAGGTGCAGATAGGTCAGCCCACAGACAAGCTCTTTAATAGCTTATGGTCTCTGAATGCAAAATATTTCCACATTATTCTCCTAAAAGTTACAATTGATTTTGGTACAACTTCATAAATGTGCTAAAAACTTTGAAGGACTAGAACCAAAAAAAGTCTCCTTCCTTTAGTAGAACTGAATCCAATTTCACATATCAGTTGATAAAAGAAGCTGAAAAGAATGGGAGATAAAATAGAGTCTGAGGAAAACCAGTCTTAGGGCTGTGCAAAAACAGAGTAAGATTTTAGATGTTTAGACCTCTAGGCATTTGCATTTCTCTTTTTATTTAGTATCCATTGCTCCTTTAAAAAAAAAAAAAGTATTTCATATATGATGTCAGCTTTTAATTTGCACGTGTATTCTTTTCAGGACAAATATTATTATTTGGGCCAAGCAATGAGCACCTAAAAGTTCCTGTCAGTAGCTGCCAATTATTCATCTATCAAGACTAAAAGGGGCACAACAAGTCTAAGCGATGACATACACTCAGCACTTGCCCAGGCGTTGCTGGAGTGCTATAAATCTGTCCTGCTGTCTGCTGCTAGCCTGTCTATGTATTCATTGCATTTCAGATTTAGAGCCGAGTCCCTTCCTTGCTTTGTAAGAGAAGTGGAGGAGTGGGCGCCAAGTCTACCATCTCTCACCTCCCTGTGATACTAACACGCAGCTGGAACAGACAAAGCCTTCCTTTAGGTCATGCTGCTGTATTTTAAGTCATACAACCATATTCCCCCAACTTGTAAATGGTGAAGTGTGAAGAAATATATTAAATGCTTCATTCTCCTTTGGATGGTTCTAGACAGGTGTTCTCGTAGTAGTTGAGAGTGAGATCATTTCAAGGAACAACATGCCTGAGCTCAGTTATCCCATCAGCAGAGCTTACTAGCCCACACTTTCCCTGAACAGACCACGTCAGATTGAAAACACTGGTATTTGGAACTGGATGTGCTTCTTCATGTTTTATTTCATTTATTTGAAAATTTTGTGCCCTGAATTGCTTTTTATTGGCCAATGTCAGGATCAGGTATACTTCATTTTACCTGTATTGCAAACATTTAACCTGTATTGTGAACAGTTACTTGCTTTCTGTTTCATATCACCGTTCACAGTACCCTGACGTGTTTTCTTGTTCTTTCTAGCATACAGAAACGCTGCAGAAATAGTTCAGTATGGAGTGAAAAACAACACCACCTTTCTTGAATGCACACCCAAATCTCCTCAGGCTTCCATTAAATGGCTGCTACAGAAAGACAATGACAGGAGGAAAGAGGTGAGTAACATGAGCAGTAGCTGTGGAAGGGACTTCAGTCAGCATCTCATCCACTCCCTGGGCGAAGGCGAGGGAGCGCTTGTGTTTTCATCAGTCTGGTCACAGTGGAGCTGGAGAATTTGTGTGGGTGCAGAACAGTGACCAGCACTTCACTCATATAAATAAGGGCAGACTTCAATATATCTGGGACTTGACTTCGCAGCCCCAGTGATTTCTATCAGAAAATTCCTGTCAGCCCCTGAAGTCAGGGAACTAGTTAATGAATTTTCCCTTCACACCTTACTAATTGCAGACTGAAGGTTTAGAGCACTCAGGACTTCTTATTGATCGGAGGAAATAGGCACAAAAGCAATAACCTGGATAAAGTTCAGGAAGAAGTCAGCATGCAGTAGCCCTTCTTTGCTATTGAAGAGAGAAAAGGTGAAAGTGGGAGAAATGTGAAAGGTTTCTTTAGCAAGGGACTAGTCCAGGCTAAGGACACGTATTGACAAAAGCATTTCCCCGCCATGGTGCAATCACATTTTCCATTACTGCACTCTCTAAGGCTCTCAAGTTTCAGCACTGTAATATAGAGTGTGATTGTTTATGGGGAATGTGCCTTCCTTAAGTAACATAAAAGGGAAAAAAATCCATTTCAAATCCAAGGTACTTACTGTATGAATAAAAAGGAAATCTTTTGAAAGGAAATATTAAGTAATATGGTGTCTATTGATAGATTATAAATTCTGAAAAGCATTACTCTCATATCAGGCCATTTTCCAAAATCAGAGAAGACTTACAAGCCTTTCACTGAGTCTTTCATGCTGTTTTTCTCTTCTTCAAAGACTCAAGCCATGTCCTTGCAACCTAGGTGCAATTATTTAACCCTTTACTTCAGCAGAACATCTCCCTTTTCTGTTCTTATGTTTAATAACTGTATTAGAATGAATGCAGTTTTAAATAACAACAAACTAAAGCAATAGAAGATTTAATTACATTTCAAGCTCCCAGATTTCTGAAAATCTTACCTCCATGATGTCTGCTAAAGTTTACAATAGCAGCTTAGCATAACAAATAAATGAATTCCCAGGAGAATCAGGCATAATGCAAAGTGCAATGGCAAAACAGAAAAATCATTCATAAAAATACAAGCACTGTTAGTCTTTCATAATGGGTTAAATTAGCAATTTTTAGTTCGCAGCTGATACTCAAAGGGACGTGTGCAAGGTCATTTATAGTAAGATGATAAGAAGCTGTGGTAACTTGCTTCCTTCAGATGATGTGATCATCTCCTGGGACTGTTCAGAATCTGAAGACAGAAAGGAAACAGGAGTAGAAAAATTACTCTTGGTTTCCAGTGAGCCAAGTCCCAGCTTAAGCCACTGAAATGAAAGCTTCTATACCTGGCTATAGACTCTGCAGTGCAGATGGATTTCTTCAGAAGATAGCCCCAGGAACCTGCTCAAAGTCAAAATATTTAACCAGAAGCCACCTTGTGTTCAATGACAGATCAACCCCCAATTCTGCACCTTTCTTCCTTCAAGTCTCAGCAGCAAGCTCTGATGCTGTAAGAGACATTCTCGGGGGGTGTAACCCTGGCAAATAAAAGCTCATTTCCTGAGCTCTACTATTTGAACATTATGAAAAATGTTCTTTCATGTAGTCTCCATATTTGCATCTTTGCCTTCATCCTGTTAAAATCTATTCTAACATAACAAATCCAAATATTGAAGTCATTTTTAGCGACACTTACCTACCTTGAAGTAAGGTCTCTCCTAACGGTAGCAATTACAGTGGTCTCTGGGAGATGTGATAAAACAAAATATAGTAACTTTAAGAAACCCTTTCAGAAAGAAAGAAAGAAAGAGGTTTTTAAAGTGAGACATACCAAGAGGTCCAATACTGTGTGGTTCCATGACGTTCCCTAAAAAGTCCCTTCTGCCTTTTTTCCCTTTAGGTCAAGCTGAATGAGAGGATCATAGCTACTGAGCAAGGACTCCTCATTCGCTCTGTCCAAGACAGCGACCGAGGGCTGTACCACTGCATTGCAACAGAGAACAGCTTCAAGCAGACCTTAGCGAAGATCAATTTCAAAGTGTTGGATTCAGAGATGGTGGCCTTCATGACGGACAAGTGGTCCCCTTGGACCTGGGCCAGCTCGGTACGAGCGCTGCAGTTCCACCCAAAGGACTTTGTGGGAGCTTTCAGCCACTCGGAAATGCAGATGATTAACCAGTACTGCAAGGACAGTAGACAGCAAGGTCAGCAGAGGGAAGAATCCCAGAAGATGAGAGGGGACTACAGCAAACTAAAGGCCCTTATAAATAGCAGGAAAAGTAGAAACAGAAGGAATCAATTACCTGGATCTTAATTTTATTTTGTAGTTATAGATATCTTTGTCCTCACTGTAGGGGTCTTATATGTGTCTATTGAGAACAAATTTGAGAAAATCTGATAGAATATTAAGTGAAAATCCTCAAATGAAACAAGCCTCAGAAAAGATCCATCTCCCAATAAAATTCAGTGTAACTTAACTAAAGAAAATAATTCAGAGCATTTTCTTTCCTAGATGCTTACTGACACTATGTTGGGCTCTGTTCTAGAAGCAGACCTGGGTACTCATCTTAAACCAGATTCACCTTTAACATCTCAGAATTTAATTACAGCTGAATAGAAATTTTTACAAAATCAATGCATTATCTTGCAACTCTGGAACTATACCAACAAGGCTGGTGGTGAGAGAATCTGGGTTAAGATGCATGCTCAAAGTAGGATGGTACTGAGATTTCCTTGCACTGCATTTAAGAACATGAGTTTCTTCTTGTTTACTGTTCAGTACTGGGTTTACAGCTTTCACTTATTGTTCCAATCATGTGAATGCATGCTGATAGGAAGCAAGTAAAGTATAGTAGAAATGTTTCATTCGTTCAGAGGTCAAATGAAGGAATGAGTAGAAGAAAAACAACAAAAAAAAATTATACTTTTTCAGAGGAAACACTGATTATTGTGCATAGTATGAGTTGTAATAAATTCATGAGTGCTGGAATGTAATTTAAAATATCTCTGCTCATATTGATTTTTATTAAAATAGAGTTTCCTATAGCACTACATAGCTTTATAAGTGGCACAAAGCTAACATGAGAATGTTCATGACGTACAATTTTGAAAAACACCTAAGTGACTTAGGTATTTTAGCTATTTTTCAAAGAATTACACTCCAATTTTTTTTCAAAGGACAGTATGTGGGTATACGGTAAAGTGTTTACTCAGAAATGAAAAACATAGATTACCTTTAGTCTGTTCCATGGTTAAATTGGAGCTGGTCTGCAATGTGGAAACAAGTCATGAGTGTCTTTGAAAATTTTAAAACATTATTTTTTCAACTATTTTCTCAAAGTTGCAAATATTTTAACTAGATTTTTTAAATTAAACCATTTCCATTTTCCGGTCTTTGTACCCTTTCTCTTTTCAATGTTATTTTCACAATTTCCTCTTATTTTCAGTTTTCTGCTGAAAAGATCAGAAAAGGAATGAGGGAAAAATAAAACAGAAAAATGGGGTTAGGTCAAAAACCAAAATGTATAACAAGTTGAGAGGCATGTTTAAAGAGAAATATTTTTGTTTAAGAAGCAGCTATCAGGTCTAATTAAGTATGTTTAGTTGAAAATTAGGTAAATGTGCATCAAGCCATCCTGGGAAAAACTATCACTTTTTTTTTTTTTTTTTTTGAGCAACACTAATGCCAAAAAATAGGGACAAATCTTCCTCATTTTACTGTGTAAGAGTGTTCCAGAAGCCATTGAGTCTGTGCAAAGGAGACAGAGAACAGGGATTAAAAAAGTATGAGTACCATAGAAAAATTGTGGTTCCAGCCAGTAACAGATACTGTATTTTAAATCAAAGTTTTAAACTTTCTAATGGGTCTTTGTTGAAACTCTTTGGGCATTATTTTGATTCTGCTTCTATTAGAATATTCTGGGAGTAACCGTACAGGGTGTAGGAGACCACCTCTGGGTTTGTGCCAGTGTGAATTAAGTTCTAGTGCAATGGAGATAACTCTGGTAGTTGCCTGGTATCAGTGAGATGTGTCCCTTTATCACCAACTGATGCAGAATAGCCGGGAAGCGGGCCCTAATTGATCAAACCACTTAAACACTGTCTCTAGGCTCCTTTGATGCTGGTGGGAGCTCTTTGAATTTAATTTGTGTGCTTACTGCTTGCTTCGAAGGGGATGGCAATGCCAGCCTGCTCATACGTTGCCATCTAGTCAAGTGCTTTCCTTAACCAATGTGTATTTCTGCAATATGTAGCCACTGTAATCTAAGGTCCTTCTTATGGAAACCACCAGGTTCACTCTTTGACTTCAGTGAGCTTGGATCTGTCCCCAAGAGTTGGCAAAACAGACTCTGGAGAAAAAAAAAAAAAAAAAAAAAAAAAAAAAAAAAAGAAAAGAAGGAAAAGAAGATGGGTAAGGGAAAATAAGATTGTTATTTTTTCCCAAGCTGACTTTCAGTTCAGCGTTTTGGGTTTTTTTTTGTTGGTTTTTTTTTTTTTATTATTATTTTTTTCCTGAGGATGACTGACTCCTGAAGTGTGTACGTGACAAACCAAAAATCGAGTGCCATAAAATAGAACTACCTCCTGGAATGACATTAGTGCATATACTCTGTGTGCTGCCATGCTCTTCCTGTCTCCCCAGCAGATTCACTGCAGAGTTAGTGTGATATTAATGTCTATTGTGAGGATCATAATTGCTTCCAGATGGAATACAGTGATTAATAGGCATTTAAGGGTACAATTTACCCTTTAAGTGGTTAGGTACAGTGATATTTTAATAGGCCTCCATTAGGCCTCAGAAATTATAGTTACACTGTTTTCTAATAGAATATTGGCAATAAGGGATTCCGTTAAAACAATCAGCATAGCTCAGAGTTTCATATGATTATAAAATAATATTTTTAAAGCTGCTTCGTATACCATTATTATGGTATGACTGTTTAAGGGATTATACTTAAACTAACATTTTTCCTGCTGCATGAAAACTTCAGCATATATATAATAAGGTTCTGTCAGTGCGTAACTGTTCCAAGCTTCCATGCTTTAGCAGCCTTCCCCTGTGTATAGCATAGTCAGGAGCCAGATGCTCAGCTGGTATAAACTAATGTAACGTCCTTGCTGCCCATTTAGCTACTGTGGTTTATACCAGATGAGGGTTTGGCCCTAAATGTACAGAATAGGCAAACTGCAATTTTTATTTGTTTAAAGTAGCCCCTCTACTGTAGGTAACACCAAAACTTAAGACTGTAATATTGTTTGTGCTATTTAATACTTCCTATTTTAAGGATTACTATATAATATATATAATTTGATTCCTTAAAATATACAAAAGCAAAATGACTTCTAGGCATAAATTCACCAAATGTAAAGATACGTTCTCTTCTAAGAACTTCACCGTGTACTGATATTTTTTTGGCTATTTTTGTTTTGTGTAGTTTGTAAAGTTTGCTGAAATCTTGACCTAACAATGTGTTCTTCGCAGTTGTTGTTACTGTAGATATGTGTGTTTTATTAAGAAAATCTTGTTTTTAAAAGTGTAGGTATGTGTATAAGTTCCTAGCATGATGAAACTGTCATTACAGTGAATATGCATTATATAGTGTGTAAGAAAGAACAAAATGTAGTTTAACATAGTGCTATTTAATTGAATATCTAAAATACTATTTGCCTGACAAAATAAAGTGTGTTGCAACAACTTAAAAGTTTGTTGTTTCGCCTTTATAGATGTGTGTTAAAAATAAGGAACTTTATTTTTTTATCTGAAAAGAAATCCAATAAAATTTATTTTAAAAGTCCAAGAAAATACTCACAGCATCAGGTGTTACAGCTGATGAGTTCTGAGCCCTGCTCTGTGCTGAACACTCAGTCGCAGAGATTTCCAGGAGTACATAAAGAGTCAGAGATGAATTCTTTTAGAAATCACCCAATGTAAAGACCCTGCATATAAACACATTTAACATTTATTCATTGTAAGTAAAGAAAAGAAGAAAAATTGGTTTTCTACTAGAAGTATAAAGTCAGTCAGAAATGTCCAGCTTTAAAAAAGGGGAGTGAGTTGTAAACACTTTCTGCTTTTATTTCACTGTGAAAGAAAAACACAAAAAAACCAACCAAACAAAAAGCCAAGCGCATTCTGTGAAATCCTGCAGATGAAACAAATTCTGTTGTTCAGCTTTTTCTTTCAGATGGGACTCCGGCGTTCTCCAAGCAGCTCTGCAGGGGAGGCAGGCTGGCGGGGATGCGCCGCAGGAGCCGCAGCTCCCTCCCTTTTCCTGGTTTCTCCTTGGAATGAAGTAACCTGCCTGACACCTACAGTATGCTCCTTTTTCCTGCATCCACCATCCAGGAAGTGTTATTATTGCTCTTATCATCTGTTTTTCCAGATGGATTTTAATAAGAAAGCATAGGGCCTCCTCGGTTCTTTAGGACAATAATTAAAAATTAAATGTCACAAATACCGACCTTCACAACAAGGTTCTGGATCGTTAAACCTGGATTTTGATTTCCCAGATAGACAAGTTCCTGCAAGGCTTTATGAGGTGTGAGTGGATAAGATTACCTCACTCCAGGATTTCCGTACGGGCTGGTTCCTAGATGTGCTGACACTGGATCGTTACCTGCTCGGCAGCGGGGCATTTTGCATCAGAAGCTGATGTTGCGAGTACTCCCATGTGCTGTAGGAAATGTTTGGATTAGGCTCCAAAAAAAGCTGGGCATTTACAGAGTTTTACATTCTGAGAAAGCTTTCCCAGATCTGATCCTCTGTCTTTATATCCCACTTAGGATCCTGTCTTTTGCTGATCTTCAGCCCTTCCTCTTTTTCCCTGCTCCTGCAGGGTTGCAGCGTGGCTCAACACTTACTGCTTTGATTTCTTAGCCCTGACCAGTGGGGAAACAAGACATGGGGTATCTCCAGACATCAGACGTGAGATCTTCAAAGATCTGAGTTTTCTCCTTTATCTTTCAAATGTCTGATGGATATTTTTTTTCCCCATCTGGGAGCTACTGCTTTTTCTAATGTCTCTCTTTTGGTGACAAGACCTTTCTAAGGTCTCTCTTCTACTGAAAGCAGGATGCAAAATGCACACACTCACACAGTCTATGACAATGCACGTGCCCATGCAGGATCCCTGCGGGACAGAGCAGTGTCAGGAGCAGCCTCCTCTATGCAGCCACAGAGCACAAAGGGGATCAGTGAAAAATGCTGCCTGTACGGGAGGCACTGCTAAAAATGAGGTGCCTCCCAGTGCTATAGGATGATTGTTGCCTCTGGAATTAATTTTTGCCTCCAGAATTAAATCAGCAGCTGTAATTCTGTGAGGCAGGCCATAAAAGCAGGTTGAGGCATTGTGGCTTTTGCGTAAAGCA